CTGCTTTACATACCAGGGAAGAACTATAGCAAGAGTTTGAAGACACAAAGGAGAAAGGATGAGTGACAGAACAATGTCACGATATACATGTCTTTTAATTCTACAGGCAAATACAGAAAGAAAAAAAACTCAACACATCTCCCTATGATAGAGAATACTTACACTTTACATATGATAGAATGCTGGACCTCAAACTCCAAGTTACTAATAACAGGACATGTGTATATCCTAGTAGCTGCAATATCATCTGAAGTCCGTCCTGGAGAATTCTCTTCCCCAGATACAGGCTCAGTCTTCCAAGTTTTATTTAACTTTTCCATGTCCTCCTTTAGCTGATCCAAACACTGACTTAAAAATTCATGTGCATCCTAAAAAGAAAATACACTCGATCAGATCAGAAATAGCTATCTGACATGAAACCTTCTCATTAACTTTCATGATTTAGTTTATCAAAACAAAATACAACTGAATACAAAAGGCAGATATTTACTCCAGGATATCTTAATATATTTGCAATTTGTAGCTTAAAATCTAAAATGGATTTCTAAAAAATTGGCTTAGCGCAGATTATATGTTACTGACTTTACAGCACAAAACCCACTAAGTTTGGACCCTTGTAAATCAACCTTCCAAAACAGTAAAATAAACAGAAATATTACAGTGAAAAATTTTTTTTCCAACTTAAAACAACAATCATGCTAAGATTTAAAAACCATTTCTCACAGACTGCTAAAGATATTTTAAAATAATCATTACTTACATTTTGCATATAGCCAGAGAATCTCTCTGCAGTAGCTGAAATGGCATTTTTTACCTTCTTGAGCAAATCTTTCTTTGTTTCTGAATTACAGACATCTTTTTTAGCAAGAAGGTGGGCAAAGCGTCTAGTAAAACAAAAACACAAAGTTTACAAATTATGAGATTACAAAATACCTTCAGGTATAAACACAAAAATCTAAATTCCTCAAACCTGGATTCTTCTATACCATTGAGACTCAATGTGAGGGGATTAAATTAATAATTACTTTGCATCTGCATTGAAGTTCAGACTAGAATTCTTAACAGTTGGTAAAAAAGACTCTCATTCCATAGGTCCAATCCTCTTCATATCAATTCCCTTTCAGCTTTCCTCCTGAATTTCTGGACCTCAAGACTATGCCTCAGTTTTTCCTTATCCTGCAAATTCCCTCAGTACCTGTGGCCTCCTCACCCTGGAAAATCCAACTTCCCCGAGGCCTTCTCACCTTGAAACACCCCTCCACCAGGCCAGTCCCTTTTTCCACTGGTGAGCTACTCCCAGGGTCTCCATTTTGGGGAAGAGTTCAGGCCAGCCAGCCTTCATTTCCCTCCAGGGTCTGCTCCTGACTTTTTGGACTTCGAAACTATGATCTGGTCCTGGGTTTCTTCATTCTCCTCCCTCATCTTCTATCTGTTTAGCTCCCTTTCGTGTGTACTCTTTTCCCATTAGAATGTAAGCCCTTTGAGGGCAGGGCCCATCTTTCTTTTTGCTGGTTTCTTATCCCCAGGACTTAGTATAGTGTCTAAGAATGTGCTTAATAAATACTTGTTTCTTTACTTCTCTCCCTAAAAAATTTCACATATAAAATTTAGTATCTAATAAGACCTTTCTACAAACTGCTCCTAAGTGGGGAAAAAATTCCCTCAAGGAGCTTACAATTTATCTAAAAAGACAAGAGAGACATGAAAAGTTAAAGAGTAATAATAGAAATTACAAATAAAGATAACTATTACACAAATAACAACTCAACAAACAGTATAAAATAAATACACTTTATTTTCAAAGAAAAGTCAGTCTTCTATCCATCTATTTCCCTCCCTCCACCCTCATTGAGAAAGCAAGAAAAACAAAACCCATTAGAAGCATATATAATCAAGTAAGACAAAATTTCTTATTGGCTATGCTAAAAAAAAAAAAAATCTCATTCTATGCTTTGAGTCTATCACCTCTGTCACATGGTAGGCTGCATGTTTCATCACGAATCCTCAGAAATTGTGACTGCTCATCACTGTTGATCAGAGTTCCCAAGTTGATTCTCTCTCTCTCTCATACACACAGACACACACCAAGACCCATATTCTCACCCTCTCACGTCCCATCCCCCCACGCCCGGACAACAAAGTCCATTACAAACACATGTAGTCAACTGAAACAATTTTCCACATTGGCTGTGTCTTTAAAAAATGTTTCTTTGGGGCAGATAGGGGCACCGTGAATAGAGCTCTGGCCTGAGTCAGGAGGATCTGAGTTCAAATCTGTCCTCAGACACATAACACTTACTGGTTGTGTGACCTGGGCAAGTCACTTAACCTGCTGCCTAACCAAAAAAAAAAAAAAGTTTCTTTTATTCTTTCTGAATGTTTCATCTATCAGGAGGTAGGCAGCATAATTTATCATTAGTCCTCTGGAATCATGGTTGGTTATTATGCTGGTAAGAGTTTAACACAACAGTATATTCTATCACATTTATTTACTATAATCTGTCCATATATTTCTCAATTTTGGGGTACTTCCCCATAGATTCTCATTCTTCACCACCTCAAAAAAGAGCTATTTTGTATATCTTCAGAATTTGTTTTGCTTAGGACTAATCCCTTCCTTATTCTACTTTCTAATTCCCCCTTGCCCCTTCTCCCTTTTATTTTCTTACTGAGTGAAACGTACTTCTGTGTGTTTATGTGTGTGCATACACATGCATTCCTCCTTCTTTTATGCAGTTTAAATGAGTGAGGTCAGCTGCTCCCCCCAACCCTCTCTTCATTGTTTGCATAGCTGTCTATTTGTGAACCCTCATTAGTGAGATAATTTTCCCTATTTTTCCTTTCCTATCCCCACGTATTTTCCCCCCTCTTTTCATTCTGTACTTAAGATCATTAAGACTTAACAGAACCACTCCAACGACTTGCCTAATCGGACTCCTACTATGAACCCTGATGATAGGGAACAGAAAGCACCCATGAATCATTTCTCCATATTTAAATGCGAACAATTTACCTCGTTTATTCCTTACCATTGTTCATTCATGTTTACCTTTTTATGTTTCTCTTCACTCCAGTGTTTGAAATTCAGAGTTTCTCTGCAGCTCTGGTTTCGTCATCAGGAATGCCTTAAATTCCGTTTCATTAAAAGTTCGTTTTTTCTTCTGTGGCATTATACTCAGTTTTACTGAGTAAGTTATCCTTGGCTATAAGCCCACATCTTCTTTGCCTTCTAGAATACTGTATTCCAGGTTGTCCATTCCTTTAAAGTGGTGGCTGCTAAATCATGTATGATCCTGACTGTCACTCCTTTCTTTGACCTGGAATCTTAGGATTTTGGAAATGATATTCCTGGGAGTTTTCATTTGGGGATTTTCCCCAGATGATGATGGATTCTTTCTATTTCCACTTTGTTCTCTGCTTCTAAGAAATGTGAGCAGGTTTCTTTTAAGATTTTTTGCAATATAGTGTCTAGGTTTTTCGGTCTTGGCATTCAGATAGTCTAAAGATTCTTAAATTTTTTCTCCTCAATCTGCTTTCTGGGTCAGTTGTTTTTGCTATGAGATACCTTTTCTTTTCTTCAGTCTTGTTATAATTTTCTTGTTGACTCATAGAGTCACTGGCTTCTAATTGGTCCATTTGAATTTTTAGGGAGTTTGTTGCCTGGGCAACAATTTTTGTACCTCTTGTGTCAAACTATTAATCTCCTTTCCAATTCTTTTTTTTTTTTTTTTAAATGTGAGGCAATTGGGGTTAAGTGACTTGCCCAGAGTCACACAGCTAGTGAGTGTTATGTGTCTGAGGTCACATTTGGAGTCCATGCTAAAAAAAAAAAAAAAAAAAAAAAAATCTCATTCTGTGCTTTGAGTCTATCACCTCTGTCACATGGTGGGCTACATGTTTCAATACGAATCCTCAGAAATTGTGACTGCTCATCACTGTTGATCAGAGTTCCCAAGTTTGTATACACACACACACACGTGTCAAGACCCAGATTCTCACCCTAACTCCAGGGTTGGTGCTCTATCCACTGAGCCACCTAGCTGCCCTCTAATTCTTTCTTCAACAGCTCCTACTTGTTTTCCAAAATTTTCCTCAAAAGCTCACATTCTATACATAAAAACGTTTTAAGCTATTTTTTCAAAACTCTTGCCTAATTTCTTGCAGGAATTCTAATTGAATTTATGCTCAAGCTCTATTTTTCTCTGAGGCAATGCTAGATGTTTTGGTGTCATTCTCTTCTGCATTTGTATCTTGAATACAAGATACAAATATGGAGGTCCATGCCACCATAATAGCTCATTATGGTGGGGTTCTTTTTTTGTATACCCATTCTTCCAGGGACTTGTTGTTATGGCTAGATTCTGTAGCACTTCTATAGAGGGAAGGTCTGGGCTGGTCCTTGTTGCTGCTTTCTTAAAGTCTTAAGTGTTGTGTTATTCCAGGACCCCAGAGGCAGGCTAGGCAGCGGCAAGCTTTCAGTGCTTCTAAGTAGTCTGATCTGGGGCAAAATCTGATTGTTGTCCTCCTGGTCTGAGTTACGTAGTTCCTGACCTGGGTTAGGGTCTGAGCAAGAGAAAAGTTCTTCTTGACTCTACTCCATAAGCCAGCTGGAAAGCTCTGTTGGTTTGAAGTGGCAAAATTGTAAACTCCATTATGGTTCTGGATTCCTGCTCTATTCCTCTGCAAGCTGGGCTAGATGTCAAAGTGAGACTCAGCTTTGCACCTGAAGACTGAGTCACACCAATGCTGCTCTGGCTTCTGAACTTCCTCTTTTCTCTGAACACTACCCAAGGTCTCCTTATCCAGAAAAGCCACTAAGTTGTGCAGGTCCCCTTTACATTTCTTCCTGGATCTGAGACATCAGATTGGGTGGTGGGCAACAAAGGTACCAGTAGGCACCTGTTCTCATTCCAGTACCCCAGTGTGAGTCTGAGACCTCTTCTTACCCTGGTTCTGAGCCTCTCCTAGATGATGGAGTGCTCTGTGCAGTGAGCTTCTTGCTCAATTCTATCTTCAGCATCCACAGACTTCCCTGTCTCCCAAGCAGGCTGGACAAAGGACTCATTGTAACTTTTTCTAGATTTCCCCATGAGGTTTTGGTCTGCTGCATTTTCTAGATTTATCAGAAGTTCCTACAGAAGAGTTCATCACATTGCTTCCTATCCCTCTGCCATCCTGGCTCCACTTTTGGATTCAACCCTCCCTGTATTCTACCTCCTTCTCATTGGCTGAATTCAGTTAACTTATATTTGAAAATGAATGCCAAATGTACTGGCTAATTACCTCAGAAAATCTTTTATTATTAAGCCAAGTTACAAAGTTCTCTACTGGGAAATTACTTTTTAAAAAAGATTTTCAAATTAAAATAAAATCAATCATGGTGAAAAGAAAATGTTCTTCTAAGTTGGGTGAAAATGACCATTCCCTATCTAAATTCTTGCCATTAGTTTACAAAAGAATAGAAGAATTTTGCATACTGGATATTCTAAAAGTAACACACAAAACCTCTGAGAAATATCAAATATATTATGCTTCTCTTAAACAAAAAGGTCCCCTCACCTGCAAAAAAACTATTTGTATGCAGGGGGGAAAAAATAAAGGATAGAAAGCATAACAGTACTTTAAAAAGAGTAAGAATGTTTTACCTAAGAATAATAGTTACCTGATAAGTGCATTCAGTGGTACTTTTTTCCATGGGATACCTTGCTTGAGTAAATCATTAGCAAATGACTGAAGTGAAAATAGGGACTGTAAAATGGCATTCATATAGCAAGTATTTCCCAAATTTGAAAACCTGAAAAATAAGAAACAGAAATACCACTTGAAAACTGTGAAAGGGTTCCTGCTATATAGATTCACTGAAATACTAGCTGAGTTTTCCTTCCTAATTTTGTAGATCCAGGAAATAAGAGGAAGCTCCCTCCCTATACTGAGATTAGAACACTGAACTTAAGTCAGAAGACCCAGAGATCCAAAACTTTCTCAGTCATATGAGTTTGGGCAAATCCCAACTTGAAGATGACACTTTAGAGGTTGCTGCAAGGAAAGAGCTTGCACATATTCAAAGAATGAACTCAGTGGTAACAGCAGCTAGAAGTTAATAAGCATTTATTAAGCACCTACTGTGGCCAAGGAATTGAGATAGACACTACAAAGGAAGGTCAACATTACTATCACAGATTTTGTGGGTAGTGTCTAAATGTTTAAAGCTTTCACCAAAATATATCTGATTTCCCCCAAAATACTATTGTTTCTTTATGCTAGTACGTACATACTCCCTTCAGCTGACTCAATAAATAGGAAAAGAGAAAATTAGTCACCTACCCTTGTAATTGTTGCTGTGAATGAGTAGAAAGGGGCACTCTTGGTTTATTCCATCCAGTATAATCCTGGTTAGACCTTAGTTTTTTTACAGAGAGAGGGGCTGGCTGAGAAAGAAACCCCAAACTCCTTTTGGCAGAGGGAGTCTGGCTTGAAACACTAGTCCTAAAGAAAAGCATAAATAATAATTAGGCCTTACTCTTTAAAAAATGTTCATTTTCCCCAAGCAATTTTGGCAAAAGTCAAGGATTAGTATTAAAAAACAAAAACAAAAAAAAATTGCCTAAAATGAAATATATTCACAGAAATCCTAATCACCTGACACAGTTCTATCAATCAGCATAGATCAGGTTAGTTGATGGACAAGAGATGTGAAGTATATGAAATAACCCCCAGTATAATATTACCTCAACTTGACCATTTTACATGATTAAGAAATTTAAGACTAACTGGTTTATAGAAAAACACCACTTTGAATGCATTCTAATAAAATATACCAGATTCACCAAATAAAACATATTTTGGTTTAGCAAAAAATACTTCAGGAAAGCCTAACTGGTTTGCCAAATGGAAATATAAGACAAATCTCAAATGGTTTCTAGGCCAGACTTGTGAAATGAGTAATGATACTTTACCACTTTTGAAATAAAAGTTAATTTGACACTAAACATTTAGGTTAAAAAATGTTCAAAGCAATAGAAAACTGCTCAAGTCATTAATATTATCGATGATAATGCTCAGGGACTGGGATAAGGAATAAGAGTATTTGTACATGTCAATTCTGCTTCAAATGCCTCTCAAGTAATCATTCTTCCTTAACGGTCATTCCAGATACATACCTTATTTCTCTATGATTTCATCAAGGATTTTCAGTATTTTAATTAGATTCTTTCAAAATGTGGCTCAAAAGTGCAACTTTAGTCAACTCAACTTGACTTTAAAGGGCTATTCTTTTTGTATTAACAGTTTTGAGGCATCATGGTACAGTGTGAAAAGCACTATCATGGGAGTCAGGAGAACTGAGTGATAATCCCAGTTCTGTCCCTAACTACATAGTTATGTGGCTTTGGAAAAATCATCACTCATCTCTGAGTTTCAGATTCCTTTTTTGTAAAATGAAAGGTGTACTAGCTGGTCTCTAAGGTATTTCCCAACAACAAAAATTCTGAGTCTATGATTCTATTATCAATTTCATTATTTTAAGAAATTATTACAACTGCTTATTTTCCCAGAACACATGTCCAATACACAGTAAAATCCAAGGCTTAACTTCTTGAGTAAACAAATAGTTTCCAAGTTATTTGTAGGTCAAACATAAGATTAATACATACCTGTCTAGATTTGAATTTCCAGGAGAGTAATCTTTTGATACTGCTCTACTACCATAAAAGGATGATGATTGTAGGGGCAAAAGTCCTGTATAAAAAGGTACCAAATAGGGAAAATGAGTTCTGAAATCGCTAGTTCGTACTGGAAAGCTATAAGCTAACACAATTGCTCAAGCAATGTGACTGCCTTAAACAGCAGTTGTATACATTAATATTTCACTAGATGAAACAATGGTAAAGCACAAAAGTTGACGAAAAAATTTTTTTTGCCTAAGTCTTGAATAGCTAAAAAAGAAACAAAAAACAAAGAAAAAAGCCTACATTAGCAAGGCTAATCTCAAGACACTTTTCAAAGTATTATAATGGGCGTTGAGAAAAATGTGAATAACTGAAAGTCATAAAGAATCCATAAATTTCATGTGAGTGAGTAGCATTAATCTCTTTCCTAGCCAACTTTTTAATTTAACAGAACTACTTTGTAACAGACAAAACTAATGGGCTTAAGTTTCATTCTTTTTATTTCTCTCGCTAATTCTAAAATAGAGATGCTCATTATAGTAAAAAAGTTTAATTTTAGGGAAACAGAGAAGTTGGGACCTGAATAACATACAAACTGGATAACTGAAGTTTCACCAGGGCAAAAAATATCTCTCCTCTATTCCTCGGAGTGTTGAGCACATTAAAAGCATCCAGTGAATATTTGCTAAATAAACTGAAAGCTCTAGGTACTGTGTTTTATACAATTTTATATTTCTTCCAATGTTTATTACAGTATTCTGCACCTTTTACGCACTTAATGTTTATTGAACAAATGAAGCTAATGTTTATTTAACTAAACTGACATTAATGGATTTATATTTTCAAAAATACTTTATATAAAGAAGTTACTATCTTATCTAAAGACTACTTACCTGATGTTCTGTTCTCCTCTGCCTGTTTCAAGCTTAGCTGTTTCTCTCTACTGCTGTTTAAATACTTCCTTGAAGGATCTGCCATAGCTTTATTGTTCCTAGGCATAATAAATTTACACCAAATATTACTGGCATGCAAAAATTTGTTCATCTTTTTAAGTAGTTTGTCAGTTTATTTCAAATAGTATGTTCAGTGAAGTGCTTTGAGCATGGGGGTTAGCGCGAGAAGGAGTCTATGAGATCAACTAGATCAACTCCCTCACCCTGCACATGGAGATACTGAGGTTAGACAGTAACCTTGTTGGTCTGTACAAGTGACCAAAGGAGAACTCTTAAAAATAACCCCTGTCATCAATAAGTCAAAAGTCAATACAAGACCATAATGATTAAATAAAAACTAGAAAGAACATGCTAATTCATGGTGACAGAAAGAAGCTAAAAAAAATTACACTTTGCTTAGATTTTATTTTTCTTTTCAGTTCCAAATTCTCTCCCTCCCTCCAACCCTCCTCCAACCATTATGAAGGAAAGAAATACCATATCCCTTATATGAGATTACACTTTGCAAAAAGTAAGTTCGAGTGAAATGATTACATTAAGATGGAAAGTGCAAGGTCAGAGGGAGACAACTATTTAAGCTTAGTCCTTTAATATTTTTTAATTTAAATTGTCTGTTTCCTTCATCTTTTTTATGTGGTTAATCTGGATTTTTTTTCCTGTTACTGTCTTTAACTACAAAACTGTAATCAAAGTATATATTGTTCTTTTGGTTCTGCTTTCCTCACTCTGCATCACTTCATATGTTTTTACTTATTTTTCTGAGTTCTTCATGGTCATTAGTTCTTATGGTGCAATAACATTCTATTATACTCATATACCACAACACACTCAAACATTTTCCAATCACTGAAAAACCAGTTAAGTTATTTCTAATTTTTTATTACAAATAGTGATGCTAGGAGCAAACCAGAACAATTTATACTATAATATCAATACTGTAATAAATGAACCATTCTTAAAGACTTAAGAATTCTGATCAACACTACAATCAACCATGATTCCAGAGGACCAACGATGTCATGACAGGGGTGATAGACTAAACAAGATGAGAAACACATTTCTGAAAATAACCAATGTGATAATTTGTTTCAATCTACTTTGCTTATTTGATATGAGTTTCTGTATTTTTTTTCCAGAAGTGGGGAAAAAAATGCTTGATAATTAAAAAATTTTTGATGTACCTTTAAAAAACAAATTAATCTTTTATTCATGAATAAATGGAAAAACAAAGTGTTGCTGGAGTATTTTTATGTAGATAAGCCTTTTTTCTTATCAGTAGTGCTATAATGGGACCACTGGGTCAAACCAAATTTTTTTTGCAACTCTTATTTATATTTCCATACTGCTTTACCAAATAATTTGGACTAACCAACAATTCTATTGGCTATACTTTTTTTTTCCAACCACAGATGCCAAGTCAGCATTTTTAAATAGCTTAGTTCATCTGAGAAGAATCAGATAGAACTCAAGTTGTTTTAACTTTCATTTCTCTGAATATTTTCCCATGTGACTGGTGACAGTTCTCTCACAATTTGCCAGTTCATCAAGCTTAATTCTCAAGGACTGATGATAAAACATACTTCCCTCTTCTGGGTAGAGAGGTGGGGGACTATCGGTACAGAATGTTAGGAGGCAGCTAGGTGGCGCAGTGGAGAGAGCACTGGCCCTGAAGTCAGGAGGACCTGAGTTCAAATCCAAACTCAGACAGTTGACACTTACTAGCTGTGTGACCCTGGACACTTAACCCCAATTGCCTCACAAAAACAAAAACAAAAAATGGTCCAGAATGTTAGAACTGCTGTGGTGATTCGTTCTGCTTGTTTTTCTTTACTACAAGAGAAGATTCTATGTGGGGGTGGAAAGAAATGATTAGGGACCTTTATTATATGAGACCCGTCTTTCTATCTTTGATCTCCTTGGGGAAATTTCTTCAGTGAGACCCTTCTTTCTATCTTTGATCTCCTTGGGGAAATTTTCTTCAGCAAAATTTCTAAGAATCAAAGGGCATGAACATTTGTAAGCGTAATTTCAAACTGTTTTCCAGAATGACTGGACCGATTCACAAATGTATTAACAATGTATTAGTGTGCCTATCTCTCCATAAGCCCTCCAACATTTACCATTCCCATCTTTTGTCATCACTGCTAAATTGCTGAATGGCAGCTAGGTGGCACAGTGGATAAGGCACTGGGCCTGGGGTCAGGAAGACTCATCTTTTCGAGTTCAAATCTGACCTCAGACACTTACTAGTTGTGTGACCCTGGGCAAGTCACTTAACCCTGTATGACTCAGTTTACTCATCTGTAAAATGAAATGGAGAAGGAAATGGCAAACCACTTCAGTATCTTTGCCAAGAAAACCCCAAATGGGGTCACAAGGAGTTGGACACAACTGAAAAGACTAAACAGCAAGGTTTTCATATAAGACTCCTTTTATCTATTCCCATCAGCACCACCTTAGTACAGTTCCTCATCACCTCCACCTCACCTAGATTATTTCAGTAGCCTGAATGGTTTCCCTGCCTCAAGTCAATCCCCACTACAGCCCATCCTACATACTGCAGCCAAGTGACTTTCTTAAGGTCTGACAATGTCACTTCCCTATTTAACCAACTCCAGTGACTCCTTATTGCCTCTAGGATTAAATATAAATCCCTGTCTAGTTTTTAAAACCCTTAATACCCCCCAAGCTATCTTTCCAGTCTCATCAGACATCACTCCTACTCCCGTCCACTCTGATCCAGCCAAACTGGTCTTCTGTTTCGTCCTTACCCACAGTACTCCATCTCCTACGCCCAGAATTCACCACTTGTTTCCTTCTGTCTCACAAAATTACCCCTCTTCTTTCAAGATGCCACTCAAGTCCCACAGAGCCTTTCCTGAACTCCTCCTCCCAAATGACACTAATCTCCCTCTCAAGTTACCTTGTCTCCTCAATCAGAATGTAAGCCTTTTTTGAATAGGGATTATTTTTCTTTATACTTGTATCTCCAGTGCCTAGTATATAATAGGTGCTTAATGCCTGTTGATTGATACCATTTGTGAAAGTTTATGGAGTTCTGCCTAAAATCTTACTAAATGGCACCATAATTTTCAGAGGTTAAATGATAATATTCCATCTTCCTATCTCCCTTTTCCTCTTTTCTTATTAATGATAACAATTAAAAGTTAATTCCAAAAGAACAAATGCTACTAAAAATCTATTCAAAGGTAATAGCACCATAGGAAAGATCCTTATCCAACTTCCTATTTTATAGCTGAAGAAACTTAGGCCCTGATAGAAGTCAAGTGACTTGACCACAGCGAACATAGAGAATTATCAGCAGATCCTAGATGTGAAGCCTGGTAATGCAGTTCCGAATCCAGTGTCCTCTCTATTCCATTAGCCCTGTGCTCGTTCTGTCCCTCCTGGCACTACAAATAATAAGCACTGGCAAAATAAGAGGGCAACAGCTGCCACATCATTTTTTTCAGATAGCACACAGTTTAATACCATCATTTAATACCTATTCAGTTCTCTAACCATCTGTACTGTATTCCCTGGTGGATCCAACTATCAGGATAAAAAACACTAATGCAATGCCACAAGGGGTTTTATGGCAACTTACGATGATGAATCATTTTCCTTAGGGTAATCTTCATTCATCTCTGACCCTGTCGACAGCAATCTTTTTCTCTTTTCATTCCTACAGAATACAGAGAATAGATATTCTAAAAATTAAGACATTAATGTATTATCTACACCATCAATATTATAATTCCTAATGGCCTCAAGGATAGTACCTATGATCGTGACATTTGCCATTCATTCAGTCTCTCAGAGTTGGAAGAGATCCCAAAGGTCATCAAGCTCAGCCTGTACCAGAATTGCCTCTAGGCCACGCCAGCTCCTGTTTAGCCAGCCTTTGTCCGAAGCCCTAGAGTTCTTTTATAGTGCAGTCCCTTATACTTCTGTTAACTGATGTTAAACTACCCTCGGTTCCCAGGTTTGTCCTCTGAGCATCAGCAGAACAAGCCTAATCCCTGCTCCATAGGACAACCATTGAAATATTTAAAGATAGCCAACATGTCTTCCTGGTCTTCTCCAAGCCAAAAGTACTTAGTTCTTTCATATGATGTTCGTGTGGAATGGTGCCTAGGCTCACCTTCTTGGCTGCCTCCTCTGAAGGCTCTCCAGCTTGTTAAGGGCCCTCTAAAATATGGTAATAGAATCTGATCAAAATACTCAAGATGTGTTCTATTTAAGTCAGACTACAGCATGACCTTTACTTCCCATACTTTGGATGCTATGTGTATCTTAAAGGAGCGTCTCATCATGTTATCTTTTTTGGCTGCCAAATCATACAACTGACTCACACTGAACTTGCAGGTCATTAAAATGTCTGTATTTTTTTCATGTGACTACTAGGTAGCTAGCCACAAATTGGTGACCCAATACTTGTGAAGCTGGTAGTTTTTTTTTTTTTTTAAACCAAGCATAAAATTTTATACTTATCTCTATTAAGTTCCCTCTTAGCTTCAGTCCACCACTCCTGCCTATACAGATCTATTTGGATGCTAACACTATGATCCAACATGTTGCCTACTCCAGCTTTCTACCACTGGCAAGTCTGATCAGCAAATGCCATGTCTGCCTTCATTCAAGTCATGATAAAAATGTTAAATGTCACAGGGCCAACGACAGGTCCCCAGAATGCTCCAAAAGAGACCTACCATCAAAATTGACATTGACTCATTAGTTACTACTCTCTGGATCCAGTTTTTCAACTAGCTTTGAATCTACCAGATTACACTATTATTAAGCCCATATTACTATATCTTGTCCATAAGAACAGCATGGGATTTTGTCAGATGCTGTGTTAAAATCTAGGCAAACTATGTTTTATATTCCCTGGATCTACTAATCTAGTAGGGGGGAAGAAAAGGAAACAAGTTACATTGGTATTACCAATCTGCTGTTTCCCTTTCTAGATGTTCACACCTCCAGAAGTTTGCTAGAAACTGAAATCAAACTTACTGGTCTCTAGTTTGAAGACTCTACTATCTTCTTTTAAAAAATAAAACAAGAAGACGTTTGCTCTTTTTAAGTCCTACAGCACTTTTCCCATTCTTCATGATCTTTCAGGAATCAATGACAGTGGCTCAGCAAACACTCTAATGGGTTATTTCATAGCCCTAGGATGTGGTTCATTAAGGTCTGGTAACGTGAATTCATCTAGGACAGCTATGTACTCGCATTATAACTTCACTTATCTTGAGTTTCAGTTCTTCATTAAAATATTTTTCTTCTGTATTTTATAATCCAAAGATCATCCTCCTTAGCAGAGAAAATAAAGAATTAAGTATTTCTGCCTCCTCACTATCATCCTTTATATCCCAAGCAGCAGTCCTAGGCTTTCTTTAATTCTCTATTTTCTCAAAACAGCTTTTAAAAAGCCCCCTTTACTGTCAACAATACCTAATTCTCTGCTTTGTACACACATACTAAATAGATGCTGACTAAAATTCTGTGACGCAAACCAGGGTAAAAATTTCAAACTGCTTACCAGAAATAAAGTTTCTATGTTATTTCACACTATTATCTCTAAATATACTGCAATAGCTCTGTGTACATATTGAACTTTTTCCTAGCTTTCAATACCCTTCTCAAAACATTAGTCTTACCAGAAGATTATGTCAACTTTGGAACAATTAAGATAGTCTTTTAAAGGGGCATCTAGGTGGTGCAGTAGATAGAGCCCTGGAGTCAGGAGGACCCGAGTTCAAACCCAGCCTCAGACACTTGACACTAGCTGCGTGACCCTGGGCAAGTCACTTAACCCCCAACTGCCTCACCCCCCCCCCCCAAAAAGGACAGTCTTTTAAAATAGAATGAAAAACGTTTGTAAATATATGCAATTGATAATTAATTGTCAATGGAAATAGCCTTCATACCGATGTTCTAATAATCCTGTTCTTAAAGGTGTTGATGGAGTAGAAGTCAGAGGGGTATTTATGCGGCTCCCAGTCATTATATTTCCTGTTGGGGTCTTCGTGGGTACTCTGCCTGGATTACCAAGAACTTTTCGAAATGTAGTATCATCTTTGGATTCCAAACTTGCTTTTTTTGAAGAAGTCTAAAAGAAAAAAAAAAGAAATCCATGTTAAATAGGCATGCCTCCAAATGAAAGCAATAAAATTATATCAAAGATGATTAAAGTCCAAGTTTGCAATTCTTTTTCTTAATATGCTTGTAAATTTCTAAATTTCCAAGACACATATGAGGGATAAAAGAAAGAATCCTGACACTCACTAACCAAAGCAGACATGTGGAATGTTGTGGATGAAGAGGATAAAGAAGTAGGCCTTTGAAAAAATACATTTGACCAAGAGAACGAAAAAGGAGACCAACAAAGATTAGAGAAAAGAGTGGTGCTGACCAATTTAGTTGACAAAGAATCCAATAATGCCTGAGGTAAGCTTCAAATAGAATTCTGATTTGGAAGAGAAAAAGAAAAGAGACATTCACCAGGGAAAATGGGTGAAGAGCACAGGGCACACTGGCAGAAGTGGCACCAGTGGTCTATATGGGAGAAGCCAGAATTGAAATAACCAAAGAAAAACTGACTGGCATAACACAGTAGTTGGGGAAACAGCTAGAAGAGATACTCTTTTCAAGCACTAAGTGTGAGACCTCTCCGTGAAGAACAATTTCCTATCTTCTGTGAAAAACTATATTCTCAAATTAACTTGTGACTACATTAATATAATGAAATTATCTGATTAATATCCATATCTATATTTAATATTAACAAAGACCACCAAATTTCCAATAATAGATTAAGTAGCTAAGCTATATATAGGACAACATACACTACCGACAATTTTTGTTACAGGGTATCTTACTTTTATGGAGGTCATTCATCAAATCACCTCCACTACCTCGAACACAGGTGGTGAGCAAGGGAAAACACCACTGAGTAAGCAAAAAATATCTGCAAACCCAAAATAAACCGATGTACTTTACATCTGGAGGAAAGCCTCTTAGGCACTCATTCAGAACCTATTTGTTTTAACTTTTAATAAGCTTTCTCAGTCCACAGCAGATTGGTAATGACAAATTAGAAGGGAGGATGGAGGCTGCTAAAGGAAAGCATACTGATACATCAGCAAGAAGGGAGAGATGATAGTCTGTCAGCCAGAAGAGAGACAAATATTAAATACAAAATAATCTAACAATATTGGGTGTAAAGCAGTTCTACATGACTAAATAACTTTGAAAGCATTATTGTATTAAAACAGAGTACACTAAGGAATAATCATAATGATGCTGATTCATTAAGAAAATGCTCATTTTATACTCTGCTTATTAAGGCAGTGAAATGTGCAGTAAAATTTTAAAATGTTATGTATAAAATGGCCAAAATAAAAGGAGATTTATGATAAATAGGGCATTACTATAGAAATGATATCTCCTTCAACTACCTTCAAAAACACTGAGAAATGACACACCCTCAGTTGTTAATAATCAGATTTCAATACTTTAAAATACAGTTTAACATACCTGATTTTCTATGTAAGAGAACTGCCTGTTGACTTCCTTCTGTGTAGTCCTGCTCCCGAGAACTCCGCCAAAGCTACCAGACCCCTGGGAAGGTTTCATGGCTAATGACAAAGGCATACCCCCAAATCACTAACTTTTACAAAGAGATGATTACTAGTATTTTTATATATTTGGGTAAAGAAGGGAAGGAAAAGCAAAAGGAAAAAAGATAGCCAAAATGTTTATTGATAAATATTTTTGATACGAAGTTTTTTGAAATAGGTGCCATATAAATACAATATAATTATATCTTAATCAAGGAAACTCAGATAAAAGCCAGAGAATACACATAAGGAAGATCCTACTTCCCTAAAACCTAAACTTAGCTATCCATTTGAGGAATCAGAATCTAGATAGTAATTTCAGTTAAGAAGAGGTAGCACAGTGTGGTGAACAGAGCACTGAACTTATCTTTCTTCCTCTCCCACTTGACAAGACACAGCCTCCTGCCCAGGATGCAGAAGTCAAGATAATACCATGGACATACCTCACCTAACTGAAAACATGCTCTCGGGCAAAATGAAGTTATAGAGAGGGCAGTTTGCTCCACAAGAATCTGTAATGAATCAGCAATCAGCTGAAAAGTAACAGTGTATGCTCGTGTTAGTATTTAAATCCAAATATGTTATAACTTAAATTGGCTTGTGAGTCAATATTGGAACCTTTCCACAATTTATGACACTGTTTCTGTGGGAAAAGATTACAGCAACTTCAACAGACAACTTAAAAAGTGAACTTGTGAAACACAACAGGTACGTAAGTAGGGGGAATTCTCATATATGTTTGTTTAGAAATGAAGAGTTCCCTTTTTACATCTTTTTTTTTTTTTGGTAATGCCAACTTCCAATTTATCAACTTTTTTTTTTTGTCTTTTAAACTGTAACAGGTTTTATCATCAGTGTCAAACCATGTGCCAAATAAGACATTTTTCGGTGGAACTCCTTGAGTATCACAATTACTTTGTATTTTAGGAGAAACAGTGTCTTAGTTGGATCTCTTGACCTACATCGATTTTTTCCTGTTAGATGAACCAACATGAACGCACTTTCCCCACATTTAACTTAAATATCCATTTTCTTCCCATTCAACTATTTTTTTGCACCAACCAGCCCCACCGTTTGGGATGATTAGTGCTCACCTGTATGAAGTCTGTTTTGATGGACTGCATCCAGAAACAGCCTCATTTCATCCGCATCTTTACATGGTACTTTGTCAATGGACAAATAGCTGTTATCCTGCAGGGTAAGAATCAGGCGACTTTGTTTTGCTCCATTAGGTCGAAGAACCACATTCTTTATATTGTGACTTAGCTGAATGGGAAAGGGAAATGATCTTATTATCAATGTGAAACTGTCAATGAAGAACTAGTTAAAGGATACTATCTTCATAACTATTTCCTCCCTTCACCATGGCAAACCTAGTTTTCCCTATTATAAAGAAGATTTTATTCTCCATTTCTTGTTGCAATAAAATCAATACTTTTTCTGAAAATAATAATTATGAAAATGGTAACAAAAGCTTCTTTAAAAATATTTTACACTGTTGCCAAATCTAAGTTAATCTTAAGGCTAGTAGCTCCATATTTTCAGAAACACGGACAATTTAACAAAACTGAATGAAAATTAGTGCATTGATTCTTCAAGATCTGATGGAATAACAGTGTCATTAACTGCCAGTCATAAATCCATAAATACCTACAAAGAGGTAGAAGGGGTGACAATATAGGCATCTCCCAATGAATACATCTGGTTATGCTAATTTTTTCCAAACAAAAGATTTTATATAGCAAGTCTTAATCAGAAATGGCATAAAAGGACAGTTTTCTACCAAACTATGATGTCCACAAATTTCCAATCACCACTCCTAAAATCTCCCAATTTTTATGAATATACAAAATGTGTCATTTTTATTGCCTAAGTTGACCATGGAAAGATAGCATGGTATAATGCACAGAAAATTGGCCTCAAAGCCAGGAAGACCTCGGTTCAAGCACTGCCTCTGATATGTACTGTCTGTATGACAACTAGATTTTCAAGGTTGTAGGTAGTTCTCTAAGACTATGAAGAGACCTGCACTGGCAGAGGGAGTTTTCTTAGTCGAGAGTTCCCTCTACCTTATGAAGTTAGAGGCCCAGTCTCTATGCCTATCCCTGAGTTGTCTCTTACAATGGATGTAAGCTTCTGTTGGGTTTCCCCCTTAACTCTTGGTCACAGGTAAGACTCCAAAGCGTTCTAGAACACATTATTTTTAGAACTCATCTTATTTTTCCTCAGTAAAACCAAACCCTGTGGCTCTGAATTTGATTTTAAGATGATCTTAAAAAAGAATAGTAACTCCTGTTTCCTCTTAGTTACTTCTACAGGACAAGGTTAATTCTTCCCACAGCTTCAAGTGTCCTAGCCTGAACTTCTCCCCACCTTAAGCCCCACAAATGTTCATTCAATAGTTCCTTTTGCTTACACTATAACTCCCTGTGCCACTTAACTTTATGCCTAGAGTTATCACAGAAGAAATAAAAGATAATCTTTTTTTTTTAAAGTGTGGTCCAACTGGCTTTTGTCAGTTTTTAGATAAGTGTGAATATACACACACACACCAGCTAATTCATTTCTTAAGAGACTCTTTTTTACACAAAATTTTATTCTTGTTTAAAACTTCAGAGCAAGTTCAAATTCATGACCCTGATCAGAACAATGTATTTTCTATATACAAAGCAACTTGATTTAGAAAAATAATTAAGAATTGGAAGTATTAAGAGAGGAGGCCTGAGACTGAAAAAAAAGTACTTAAACACATTAATCTAGCGAATAGCCTATCACCACCTTTAAAACCAAGGCATTAAATTCAAGGGAAAAAATATTAAGAGCTCTTTTAGAATGCACACAAGCTAAGAAACTAAAATTCCAGTTCTCTCAGAAACCACAATATTAAAAGACCATATGTGTATATAATAGAACTGTCCTGATGTGCAAAACAAAACTGTCGAAAGCCTAAATAATTTCTCACCAAGTCACTTTCAGCCTTGTTCTTTCACTGGGACTAGAAAGTAACTGAGGCTACAGCCTCAGTTGGCTCAGATCAAGTTCCTAAGGACCAAAGTCAAAAAATGAAATCTCAGAGTACCAGCCTGCATGGAAGGCAGACACAAATCTATACTTAATTTGTTTTGTTATGAGATGGTCAATGCAATGTGTACGGAAGCATCAGCTGCCGTTATTTCCTCTTCTTATGTTACCACCACCAACTCCTTCATCCCATTGCTTCATGGGAGTAATGTGGGAGAAGGACTTATGTTAGTTCAAGGGTACTTTTTTAGAAAGATAGCACTTTTGTCTAAATATGATCAAAGGGATTTTGTGTGGAGCTCTTAAACATAAAGCTGTTATTATCCTCCCCCACACTCCCAACACACACATAACTTATACTATAACCTATACTTCTGCATGGTATGAACATGGTAGTATATACTGAGATTAAATGACTTAATTGTGAAACATTCTACATGTAACATGATTATAAAATTAACTCATCCAGATTAGTGACCCTCTGATACACAAAATTTCTAACACCACAAAACTACAAACAACATGCATGCAATGAATTTCTAAAACATGTTAAAAGTATGCATATATTTTTAAAATTACAAGTAGAAATAATAACCCTTACAGGTGAAATATTCTGTCTTTAATAGGACTGTAAAAAAAAAAAAAAAATGGATTTTATGTGTGTGTTTTTTAATGACTCAGCCTAAAATGTTTTGGTTTCCAACACATTTTAAAAACAAAGAAAACATTGTCTTAACTTTAAAAAAAAAAAAACCCAGAAAATAGCTTGGATATTGACTTCAAGCCCCATTTTCTCCTTAAATAAAGGTATTTACTGTCTGCTTATGCAGGCCACCCAACAATGCTCTTGAATAATTTACAATGCATTTATACAAAAGGATTAGTGTACTGGAAATAAGAAACAACAAATAGTCTAGCAAGGGAGTTGACATGAAATGTAAGTCTGGCATAGAACTACTATTTACTAAAGGGCACTAATTAATCTACTCCAAACCCAAAAAGGGAATACCTGAAATGTCCTTGGAATTCCTCCAGCATTATAGTGAACCACTAGGCTGACTTTATTTTCTTTCTCCACAATTTCAAAGGATCCTTCTTTCCACTTTGTAATCCCCGTCTGAATGCTCCGTACTCGGATAGGACCATGTATCTTCAAAGGAGCCATACTTTTTAAAAATAAATTGCTTCTACTCAAATTAAAAAGAAAATCACAACTTCACCTGAAAGGTTCTGAGGAAGGAAAATAGAACAAAGCAAAAATTATAATTTATTATGGATAAAGCTGTCAGTTAATAGATTGATTACCTATTTGCCAATAATCAACTCAGTCGATATATTTTTCCATTCTTACACCATAAATTTTAGTCATTTACACAACATTTCCCTAGAAGTACCATTAACTCAGCCAAATTAAAAAAAAAAAAGTAAACTGGTTACACATTCACTAGCTTCTTCTTATAGCCACTCACCTGTACCCTATATGTTAGTGGTGTGCTTATTGGAATGACAAATCTAAAGAAAGGAAATGTCCAAGTCTGTATTTTGCCCTGTACATACCATATTTCTTTCATTCAGTAAATACCAATTACAAACAATCTTACAAAGATGCCATTCTGAAAGTGATATTCTATTATTTTAACTACTAGTTTAACCATTAAGGAGCTGATTCCATTCTTTTTTTATGAACAGCAATAGGTCTTGACTTTAAAACACCTACCAAAAAGAAATAGTGTTTCCACCAATCTGATTCCATTATTTGTCTATTCAGCTGTTTATAACTCCTTTCAAAATAATAATGCATGTCCACCAAGTGTCATTACTTCCAATACTCTGCAGTATAAGCAAATATATATATAGCCAGAATAACAAGAAAAAATTTCTAATAATAAAGTTAGTCTAACATCTAGGATTATAGCAGATGGGGAAATGAACTCATTATCATCACTGAACCTCCCCTCCCTCAAAAACAAACAAAATTTATTAAACATTTATCCATTTATACTCTGCTATAGCCATAAAAAAACAAATTACTTGACCTATTCTAGCTAATAATAATGGTTTGGGAACAAGTGACTAAATTTCTAATAAAGTAGCAGATTTTCTAGTCATCTATTTTTAATTTTATTATTCAAAGAGACAGCCTTTTCACTTTTTAAATCCTTAACAAATAATCAGACTCTCGTTAATGAATGTACTTCTATTTACTAATTGTTGGATATATAAAACTTTTCAAAGTAAATTTTTGAATGTCAACAAGTAAACACAGTCAAGCTAATAACAGAAATCAAAATACAAAATGTTATCCAAAATGTCTAAAGAAAGCAAGTGATTCAGTTTTTTACTTTCATGTATCACTAGAATACTAGCTTAAAAATAGTTTCAGTTTTCAATTCAATTAAAAACAAACAAAAAAAAATGATAAATGTTCACCGAAGTAGTCTAAGGAAAGTTTCATGTGATGATAAACCACTAAATATTTCATCTTTTTTCTGATTAACATGAATCACCCTGGGTAGCAATTCAGTGCAGAAAAAAAGGCACAGGACTGGTAATTCAGGAAAACTGTGTTAATCCTGCCTCTGCTACTATTAGCTGTGTGCCTTTAAGTAAGCCACAAAGTAAAGTCTCTTTTCCTCAATTTCTTCATTTGCAAAATGGAGCTAATGCTGCAACAGCCTACTTACTGGGAGTGGGCATCAACTATCTAGAGCAGGGGCAACACTCTCGAGTTCGTGTGGCAAACCAGATTAAAGTAATTGGGAAATGTTTAACAAAAGTAATAAAAATGCAACAAAACAGATAACATTACATTTAAAAATTAAATCCATCTGTGGCCCTTATGTACGGTTAGTAGCCCCCATTCCTACTGGAGTTTGATCCCAACGCTCCACAGCACAACCATGACATAAAAAGATCTCTTGAGTAGGAAATAGCTGCCAACAAATCCATTTATTCTCACCCTATGGAATAAGCAGAACTACCTGACCCACTGTGTATAAAATAAGATAGAATATGCAGTGGGGAATAAACCTTAAAAAGTTGACATGTGAGTTATTAGTACACTGATGACAAGAAGATAGTAGGCCACATGAGAGCAAGTCAGAGCTGATAGCCAAGGACAGAAACAAAAGAACTATCAACAGCAGGCTGGCCCCTTTGACTTTTCTCTTGTTTTCAAGCACAGCAGTCTAGGGCTATTTTGTTTAGGGCCAGACAGTTCTCCATATCTCATTAATCCCTGAAAGCATTAATATGTTAGAGCACAGATGAATAACTGAAGTCCATGATGACCCCAAGTCATCAAGAAAAGATTAAATAATGTTGTGTATATTCTGTTTAAGAAAACAAGGAAGCGTGTAATACATTCTAGAAAAACAGTCCTTAAGATAAGTTTGCATCTTTAAAAGGAATAAGCTTCAGTTATCTGGATTTTTCACTGAATACTTCCTTCCAACGACCAGATAAACAAGGCATCCCTGTTTCCTGCCCTACCTACTGTTTAGGATTATGAGAAGAAAATAAAATGATAAAACCACTGGAAAAAGTTGAAAAGCATTATGCAAAATTAGAAGTTTTCTCTGTATTATAAGATCCAAGTAGCAATGTAATTTTCTGGGCACAGGAAGCTACCACTGAACACCAGAGTCTACCACAATTGTCTTCTTCTTAGTTAAGATGACATTTCTGCTCGAACTAGTAACTGTCCATACTTCAAGTCAGCAATGTTTGCTACTGTTATTTTCTAAGTACTGACATTGTTGCATTGCTTCAATGTGTCCTTGAAGCATTTTCCCCCCAATCACTCTCACACATAACTGACTTGTTTAGTATGCTGACCAAGTATCAAAGGCACATAATGGAATGATAAATTCTCATTACATGGCCAAGTCAGTGTTATGTTCACCAAGTTCCTTTAAAAAAAAAAAAAAAAAAGGTCCCGATATTCACTACAATGTGTATACCTCATCTTTCAAAGTAAAAACCTGTACTCTCCCAAGGTACATGCTGAAATTTCCCACACAGCAAAGACTTCATTCCTTACTAACGAAAACTCACTAGAACCCAGATCATTTATGAAGAGACTATATCAGGAAGAACACAAGAGATTTATTGTGTAGTAACAGGGTGAGTTCTTAAAACAAAGACGTTTAGTAAATATCTCCAAAATAATGATCTATATAATTTATAGCTACACAATATTAAAAGTTAGACCACTTGTTATACTTCTCCTACACCTTCCCTTACAACATTTTTAAGGCTCAGGCTCCTGAACTCAAAAAAAGAACAAAGAACCATGTTTCCTCAGTGTTTTTCCTAAGGTATCAAGTGACATCATTAGACACTAGAACCTTCTCAACAGAAGGAATCACATTAAAAAAAAAAGCTTACTTAATGAAGTGCAGAGCTATATGGATCCAAGTTTGCTAAAGTACATGAACAATGACAGGTGAATCATTGGTCACGTTACCTTTCTGCCCCCTGCATTCTTTCTGAAGCACTACATGACTCTTTATGGATCTCCTGTGAATAGCATCAGTGAGTTGGCAGTGGCAATAGAGACCGCCTAGTCTGAACCACTCACTTTCCAACTGAGACCCAGAGTGGTGAAATGACCTGTAGAAGGATGCAAGAATTAAGGGCAAAACCAGTATCTGAATGCTAGTCTTTGGGTTACAAAGACAGCTCATTCAACTGGGTAATACCTTTTTTATTAGTTAATTAACATTTTGCTTCTTCTTTTAAATACTTGATAAATTATTTTCTACTGATTAACACCTCTTTCCCTCAAGGAGAAGGGGGAAAAAAAAGGTACAGTTCAAGAAATTGGCAGATCCAATTAAATGATATTCATATGAAGATGACCATCTCTATAGACAGTGCCCATTTGGGCTTTGAAGGAATTACACATCTTTACCCATCCATACTCATTCTCTTCAGTTTGGGTCTGATCCTCTTCAGCATATAATTGTGGACTGGGAGCAGTTACACCTAACGTGACCTTATAGGACAAGATAATTTGGATTGTATAACACTAATTTTCTTATCATAGCAACACTAGTGTTGATTAATCTTGGAAACTATAAATTAGGCAACTCACTAAGATTGGAAGTTGTAGAAAAGGTGTTAACTTCCAGGGGTAGTGAGTTTGCTCATCAAGGAGTTCCCTATGCCAATTAAATCACAGGTTCTGTTAATATCCTTAAGTACTTATTACTTTTTACAGATGTTCAAAGAATTCTTTTTGCCCTAAATGTCATCCCATTTAAAAATTGTGATTTGACTTTGGACATTCTATGTAGCCAAATATGTTGGCAAAAATACTCCTGTTCCTTTATTTCCTGTATTTGAGGGCTCATATTTTAGGCTAAGCATAGAAGATATCACTTTGAAAAGGAGCCCATATTGTATAAAATAGCATGTGTAAATCTAAAAGTTCGAAATATGCTAGTTTCTAATACAGCACTGAAAATGCTGTCAATTCTCGCCAATTTCCAAATATGTGCAAACATAAACACAGTAATGAAAATTTTACTTATATTTCAGTGATTTTTATTTTTTAATGAAAGCTAATTAATAACAATTCACCTTTATTTTGATGCTTGTGCCATAGGTAAAGAACTCTTCTTGGGGAACTACCCATATTCTGCAGCTATTCCAGTTCTCTCGAAGACATCAACTCAAGCTAAAGAAAATACAGGTGTGCTTGCTTTAAGAAAATCCAATAAACGAAAATTCAAACAAAAAAAAGTCTGATCATTGGCATAACAAAAGATTATCTTTTTAGTATTTTTAGTAGCATGACCCCCACCCCCATCCCCTCCAAGTTCTTAAATATGATTTCACAAAAAACTGATTGGCAGAAATTTTCAGGAACATTGTGCAAAATGAGGTACATCAGGGCTCTGGTAAGTCAAGATGTACTTTGATAATAAGACTATGGGTTTATTTGTCCCCGTTACATTTTGAAATTAAGACTGCAATAAAGATACTTCATTCTTTGTTGATGTCTTGAAAAAAGTGCTACATAATGTTGCCTTTAGTTTAAAAAGGAAGAAAACAAAAAACAAAAACATCCATGCACATACCCCACCCCAAAATTTTAATGTAGTTTTGATACAAACTGACAAAAGATAGACAAACTCTAAGCCCTGGCAAATTTATATTTCAGCCCTGAACTCCGACCAAAACTTTAGTATTAGGGGCAGCTAGTTGGTACAGTGGATAGAGCACCAGCATTGAAGTCCGGAGGACCTGAGTTCAAATCCGACATCAGACACTTGACATTTACTAGCTGTGTGACCCTGGGCAAGTCACTTAACCCCACTGCCCAGCCTCTCCCCCCAAATAAAACTTTTAGTATTATACCTCCAACTGCATAATACCTTTCCACTGGGATATTATATCATCATCTCAAACTTGATGTCTTCCTTTCTCCTCTTGATTACACTACTTGTACCAATGACAGTGCGTTTTTGAGTCAGTACCCTTCAAGTTCTATAAGCAATTGAGTCTTCCTTTGAAAGGCCATTTAAATCCTCCCTTACTTGTCACTTTTATCATACCTTTAATCTTCTCACTGCAAAAACCTATTAACTGGGGCAGCTAGGTAGCACAGTGGATAGAGCTCTGGCCTTGGAGTCAGGAGGATCTGAGTTCAAATTTGACCTCAGACACTTGACACTTACTAGCTGTGTGACCCTGTGCAAGTCACTTAACCCCAACTGCCTCACCAAAAAGCAAACAAAACAAAACAAAAAAAAACCCCTATTAACTGTTCTCCTTGCTTCTTGTATTTTGCTTTGCCTCCAATACATTTGCACACTGCCATAACATCAACTTTCAAAAAGCCCTATTTTTATGATGGTTTCAGAGGTCCAAGAATATATTGTGTGGTATCTACAGAAGCTACCATGAAATGTAAACTCCTGAAGAAAGAAAGGATGCTGGATTTGATATCAGAAAACACAGAGTTCAATCCTGGCTCTGCCACCTGTGACCTTCAGTAAGTCACTTAAGTTTTGTCTTCAGTTGCCTCATCCATAAGTAGGAGGATGGAGCAGATGACCTCTAAAGCCATGATCCTATGATAAGAGAATATTTATCATACTTCTTTTATATCCTTTATAGTGGTAGACTCAAAGTAGATAGCTAATATTTGTAAACTGATAGAAGCCACTCTTCTGCTCAAAAGCCTTCAAAAACTTTCCATTTCACAGAGAGCGAAATCCATACTCCTCTACCTGACACATAAAGGCTCCCCATAATCTAGGTCCACTCTACTTACACATTCTTATCCATTATTTGAACATATACCAGGTCCACCTCCCCCCCAAAAAACCTAAAATCTAACAAAACCTTTTTCACTTATATGTCCACAAATAAAAATGCATCTAAAACTAGGTATTACTTTTTTTTTTTTTAGCTCAATGCAACTTCTTCCTCACTAGTCTCACAACTTAAATGTCCAAATCTCATTCAAAAACGCACTGCCCTTACAAGGAAACCATTTCCTAAGAAATGGATAAAGACTAGGTTCTGTGATTTAAGTTAGAATAGTATATGGAACTCTCATGTGAATTAAACTCCCTCTACCAGCACAGGTTAGCACCTTATCTACAACTTACAGTCTTACAGTTTTCCAGAGCAGTGGTGTCCAACTCAAATAGAAATGGGGGGAAAGGGGGCCCAGTGAGCTGTACATAAGGATCCCTGTGGGCCACATACTTAGTTTTAAAATATAGCATTATCTATTTTATTGGTGTTATCAAATAGTTTCCATTACATTTCAATCTGGTTCTGGCCACACTGAGTGTTATAGTGTTTGACATCTCTGGTCTAAAGCACCAATAGGTCAAGTAACTTGTCTAGGGTCACACGTGATATATGTCTGAGGTAGAACTTGAACCCATGTCTTCCTGGGTTCCAACAAAAAAAAAAAAAAGAGGCAGTAATAGCAACTCATTTTTTTTTACTTTTAGGCAATTGGGGTTAAGTGACTTGCCCAGGGTCACACAGCTAGTAAGTGTCAAGTGTTTGGTCTGAGGCTGGATTTGAACTCAGGTCCTCCTGACTTCAGGGCTGGTGCTCTATCTACTGTACCACCTCATTTACATAACTGCACTTTGAGGCTTACAAACTTCTTTTCTCTCAATAACCCTGTGAAGTAGATAGTGCAAGTTTTATTTTGCTCATTTTACAGATGTTGACACCCAGGGCTCAGAGAATAACGTGTCCCCCGTCAAAAATAAGTGCTGAAGTCGTAACTGGAATGTCAGCCTTCTGACTCCAAGGTCAATGTTCTTCCCATTACATCCCCCTGCCATCCTAAACAAACACACAATCACATCAGCACCTCTGAAGTACACTGGCTGGGCGATCCTGAGCAAGGTACTTAAACTGGAAGCACTCTAAGCAACTAAGACAATACAAGTGGCACAGAAGCCCTCGACCTGCACTGGTAAAAGAAATATCCTCACCAGAGAGTTCCCTATACCAGAGGCATAGTAGACGGAATGGGCTCAGGAAGATAAGAGTTCAAATTCAGCCTCAGACACTAGCTATGTGACTCTGGACAAGTCACTTAACCTGTTCGCCTCAGTTTCCTCAAATGTAAAATGGGGATAAAAATAGCACCTATTTCAGAGGGTTGTTGTGAGGATCAAATGAGATATTTTTAAAGTGCTTAACACATAGTAAACACTACGTAACTTATCACTGCTCCATGCCCCTTCCCTGGTACCAATGAAGCAAAGATCCAATTCCTAGCCCAATAAATAATCTTTCCCAAGTTTTGCATTCATTGTGCAGAAGGGAAGAGATGAGAAAAATAACAATTCACATTTACATAGCACTTTAAGTTTTGCAAACTGCTTTTCTCAGAATCCTATGAGGTAGGCAGGGAATCGAAGGCAATAAACATTTATGCAACACCTACTATGTGCCAGGCACTTTACAATTATTATCTCATTTGATCCTCACAACACAGCAAGGTAAGTGCTATTATTATCCCCACTTTATAGTGGAGGAAATTGAGGCAAACACAGGTTAAGTGACTTGCTCAAGATCATGAAGCTAGTAAGTGTCTGAGGCTGGATCAGAACTCAGGTTTTCCTGATTTCAGGCTCAGCGCTCTATCCACTGAACCACCAGCTGAAAATATCAAAATATGGGGAAACAGAGACACTAACAGAGGGCAAAGGGGGTGGTGGTAGTGGCGATACAGACTAGGTATAACCTCTTAGATACCTTCCAACTCTAATGTTAACACTTTATATTTGCACAACACTTTACAATTTTCCCAAGTGTAGCAAGTAATCCTATAGGAAGACTGGGCTGAATGACAGCTCTGGAATCCAAAACTGGAAACCTCTTTGCTCCTTTTCTTCCACACCCTACAGGGCTGCTATGAAGAAGGAAAAGGTACTGGTCACTATATGGCAAATTACTAGTGAACTGGTGCCTCTAAAATACTTAATTGTACCTAGAATAGTCTAAATTGTCATACAGTTTCTACTGCTTGAGGTCCATTGATAACAAGAAAAAAAAATCATAGTACTCATTTGTCCTTACGAAAAGTAGCTTTCCTAATCAGACCCTATTTGGTATCCCTTCAACACTAACACTTACTCTTGCATCAGAGGCAGGATACCGTTTCCCCACAAGCAGAGTCAACCCACAAATGTAAAAAGCATTACCAACTGAAGTGGTCAAGCCTGGGAATTCTAGCTGGAAGGAAGTACACAGTGAGAATCATCTATAAAGTTTTTCCTGAGTTAATGAAAATAAAAGGTTCCGAGGACATAAATTTTACCTCAGAACAGCAAGCCATTCAAATACTAAAGAAAGAAAAACCATAAAAATTAAAAGCCAAGAAAAATAGCCAAATAATAGTTTTTGAAGCCTCTTGGAATCCTTTGTTTTCCTTCAAAACTAAAATGCCACCTCCTAAGTGAGGTCTTTCCTGATCTCCTCTCACCTACTGTCTACCCTCCTCCCTCAAATCATCATTTTGCACATACTTATATGTATGTGTATCTTTAAGCCTCTAGAAGGCAGGCACAGCTTCATTTTTGTCTTTGGATCCTCAGTGCCTATCACTTCCTGGTACTTAACAAATGCTTGCTGATTAACAGATGTGTTCATATCTATCTTGTCTTTTTAAAGATATCATGCCAAGGTCTGAGGCAAAATTCTGTGCTGTTTGAACAATGGGTCTAGTCCAGTGTGGGAATTCTCTTGTAATGTCTTGGATAAAAGAAGTTTCTTATTTACTCTCTACAAAGAATTGAACATGTAGGCATTCAATTGAAAAAAAAATAAACACCTTATATTAAGCAAGTTCTATAAACCTAAACCAATTTATTACCAAAAATGATTGCCATTCAAATACAGGAACAGCTTGTAAACTTTACTCTCCTTTCACACACACCCCCTTCTCTCTCTAAAAACAAAAAAACTCACTCTAAAAAACTTCCAAAGAGGAGTCAAACTTAGATGTGCAGTGAATTATATGTACAGTGAATACAGTGAATAATTAAAAAAAAAATAGAGCACTCTGCATTGGGATTCTTTTTCTGATTACCCTATCCTTCAATGCTGTTTTTTTCATTCAGTATCTTCAAATTAAATGCTACAAAGTAAGGAGAGAGTTTCAGTATCTCCACCATTTAATATAGTTATACAATGAATCTTCCTGGGGCTTTTATTTCCTGCTGTTAAGAAAATAGGAAATCTGCCCCTACATCAACAAAGGGGTCTGTTTTTCTCACACTCAGATACTTGTCAGTCACTGTATGAAGTTACCAAACAAAAATAGTGGCTAGACCCTTCACACTGAATCATTCTCCTGGCCATTCTCACATCCCAGCAACTAGGGAAGCAACTACAAAGCTATTCCGGTGGAGACTTTACCACTTCTGACCCCCTCCCAGTTCCGTGCGGTTGGCTAGGCATCCAGGTGTCAGGAATAGGAACCCGCCCGATTCGCTGCAGAGGCACAACAGACTCCTTTTTGATGGGTTCAATTCCTGCCCTCCTTGAACTGTAACAACATCCTCTCCTTCCACCCCTAGTTGTTGAGACCTTCACAAAGTCAATGTTTTACTTTGCCCGTAACAGGTGGACGCGCTACTGTCTACGTCCCGTCCTTTTACTACCCTGGAAGGTCCAGGAAGGCAGAGGACTTTGACTCTGCGTCCAGAGCAGAAGTGTCGAATGCTGAATGAATGAATGGGGCGGTGGGGGGCGGGTTGGGAAAGGGGCACAGGGGAAAGGAACCTTCCTTCAAACTCAGTGGGCGTGGGAGGGTCAGTGGGCAGGGCTCAGAGGGGGGAGGGCAGACCGAGAGAAAAAATAAAACACGAGAGTCACAGGATTCCAGATCAAGTTGAAGTTGGGTCCAGAAACAAGTCTGCCGGGCGAGGAGTCCCCGAAGGGGGCGGAGACGCGGTTCTCATCCGAGCTCCGAGGGGCGGGGGAGGTGCTTTCTTTCCCGCGATGCCGGGAGAGGGCTCGAAGCCCACCTGGGGGGGGGGGGCCAGCAGGGGTGCCCGGGCGGGGGGCGACGCCGGGGCTCGTAGGGGTGGAAGGCCTGAGCCGGGGCTCGAGGGTCTCTCTCAGAGAGACAGCAGCCAGGGAGAGGGCCCGGGTGGGCGGGGAGCCGGGGCCCGGAGCGCCGCGGGCGTCCTGGACCGGGAGGCTGGAGGGGGGCGGGCCGGGGGCGGGAAGCGAGCGGCTTCGGGGGGAGCCGCGGCAGCCGGGCCGAGTCTTCCTTACCTGTAGCGGCAGCTCCGGGAGCCCTCGAGGAGCCGGGCCGGGACGCGGGAGGGGGGAGGGGGGAAAGGGGACGCCGGGTGCAGAGGAGCTAGCGCGCTCTGCCCCCCGTCAGGGCCGGCGGCTGATGGCGGGAACCGGGACCGCACGCATACGCACGTACGCACGCACTCCCTCACTCGGCGCGCAATGCCGAGCCAGGCCGGACGGACGCAGCGCGTGCGCGCGTACGCACAACCTTCCGCCCCGCCCCTCCTCACCCCGCCTCCTGCCACCGCCCCTCTCCTCGGCTCCTGCTGAGCGACGCTAAGCAGCTGCAGCCCGCCCCCCGCCACGCCTGCGCAGCTCAACCTCAGCCCCTCCCCTTTCCTCCAGTGACTCATTTTCTACCCAGCAGCTCCCTGGTGCTCCTTACGCATGCGCTCTCCTCGCCCATTGGGCGCGGGGGTGAGGGCAGGTTGTCTCGCTCCTAATTTTTTCCCGCCCTTCTCTTGCTTCTCTAGGCGGGACAGGGCCCATTCCCGGCTTTGGGGTAGCAGCCCTGTGATCGGAGACTGTGAAGGGCCGTGGGAAACATTGGCACAGCCGAGTTAAGGGGGAAGGCGGGGAATCAGACCTAGCTCCGGACTGTTCCACCTCGCCGGGCATTAGAACCGGGAGGAAGCGGGGAAGGCCCCCGGAGTGTGGGGGCGGGGTCAAGGGTCAGAAGGCGGTGAAGGGGGCGGAGCCAGCGGCGGGCGGGCGGATGGCGGTGGCGGTGGCGCCCGCTTCTCCTCCGGGTTGCTGAAGTGGGAACGCGGGACCGGAGCGCTCGGCGGCGGCGAGCGAGTAGGGGCCGCTCCCAAGATGCACAGCCTTGCGACGGCCGCGGTAAGTGACGACGGGGACGGCCTCCGTCGCTCCCCTGGGTCCCCAGGCCCCCGGGCCCAGGCTCGGCCTCCGCTCGGCGCCCGCCCTGGCTCCGGCTCCTCTCCCCACCTCGTGCTGGCCGCGCCGGGGAGCCGGGGCTCCTGCGCCTCTGGCCCCCGGCGCTACCCCGCCGCCCTTTGGAAAACTTGTTTCTCTCCTCGCCCCCCACCCAATTTGTCTCCGCCTCTTAGCCTCCCATTGGGTGCAGCCAGGCCCGACTCCCCCGAAGACTCCCTCCCCCGACTCTTCTCAGGCAGGACCCAGGGATCGACCTGTTGTCTCTCCTGTTAGAATGTGCGCTTCATGAGGGCAGGGACCGCCTGGTGCTGAGCACAGTCGCCGGGCTGCGGAAGCGCTTCCTAAATGCCTGGTGATGCACTGAGAGCCCGTTTGCCTCTGTTAGCTCCTTTTGTTTCCCCCAACTTCCTTATAGCCTGGTCTGCCCTCCTTTCGGGAATGGGGTAGGGAAGAGACCGGAATGATGGGTGTTATTTTTATTAAGCACTTAATATATCGAATGCCCACTCCTGCCTTCCTTTTCATGACGCTGTTCTCCCCTGTCTTGGCCTGCCTGTCCCTTCTGAGTCTCTTGTACTGGATCATCAGCCGCATTTCCACCTGGGTGCACCTCGGGGTTGTGTCCTAGATCCCACAATGCTTCCACTCACCCAGGTGTACAACCTCAGAGTCATCCTCTACTCTCCACCCCACCCCCTCCCATCCACACCCACCAATTCGCCCTGTCTGGTCACTTCCATGCCCACATCACTCACATGCCACCCTTTTCACTCTCATGCCACCGCTTGAGTTCAGGTCTTCTTACCAGGAGAATTGCAATAGCCTTTTAAAAGGTCATTCTCTCTACTTGCATTCTTTCTTTCCTTTAATCCGTTTTCCACACATTGAATAGATATCATTAATAAGAGGGATAGGAACCTGTCATCTGACTCTGCCCCTCTTTCCACTTTATCCTGCCCTCTTCTATAGGGGAGACCAGTGAGCAGCCTCGGGGTTTTAAGGCCTGTGTCCTAGCCTAACTCCAGCCTGTCTTTCCAGACTTATTTTAAAGTACTCCCCTCACCTTCATTCCACTCCAACTAAACAGGCTTGCTTGCTGTATATGACATTTCATATACTGCTTCTGCACCTTTGCTACTGCTTTCCTCCTTTTCCTAGAACATTCTTTCTCATCATCTGTTCATCTTGAAACCCCCTAGTTCCCATCAAGGCTCAGCTCAGGTCCTTTCCCCCTCCTCTCCACCCAGGAATCCTTTCCTGATCCTTTCCCTCATTTTTATATTCATTTTGAATTCTCTCTTAGGGGGAGCCCTGGAGAACTATTTGCTTTTTTTTTTCTTTTGTAATGCCTAACACTGGTGCTTGCACATGGTTGTTGTTGTTCAGTTGTTTCAGTCCAGTTGACTCTTCCTTGACATCATTTGGGGTTTTCTTGGCAAAGAAACTGGAGTGGTTTACCATTTCCTTCTACAGCTCATTTTACAGATGAGAAAACTGAGGCATATGGGGTTAAGTGACTTACCCAATCAGTGTTTGAGGCCAGATTTGAACTCAGGAAGATGAGTCTTCTTGACTCCAACCCCTGCTGCCCTAACTTCCCCTCTTTGCACATAGTTGTTGCTTAATAAATGTGTTGAATTATTACCATTTTATGGATTAGGCTCAGAAAGATTAAGTGGTGTATCTGAGATCCTACAGCAAGTTAATGGCAGAACTCCCATTCTTCTGGACATGGGATTTCAGTAGCAAGGATATGGTACTGTGCAAATAACGACCCCTCCAAACCTTAGTATGCAGTCTGAATGAATTGCTGTAGGGAGAAAAAAATTCATCACTAGGTGGACAGTTGTGGTAAATTCCTGGCCTATGTACTATATGAACTGTACATCTTCTCTCTCAGGAAAATTACAGTAGTGGAAAACATTAGTTTGTTTAAAACGTATGCTGTATTTTTTCTCTGAGATATGGCTTGTATGATGATCAAGTATAGCCTATAATTGGTGTTATTTTCCCAAGGGAAACCCCTACCCCTTTTGGGAAACAATACTTCTATAGAAATATGCTGTGTCCAAATTTAGCTCTTTTGTTGATTTTTCTTAAGATCTTAGGCAAGTTTAAAAAAAATAAAAGCTCTTAGGCAAGTTGCCTAACCTTTTTGATTGTTCCTCTTAACTTTTTAGAAAAGGAGTAATAATGTGTATTTCTTACTACCTTACAGAGGTAGTACAATGATAAGTGACCTAAGTCACTTTTTTCACATTTGGGGTTTCCTAGGAAAATTGTGCATTATAAATCTAAGAAATCATTGTTTGATTGCTACCCAAGTCCCATGTTTTATAGCCTGGGAAAGAGTAGCTATTCTCACCTGGTTCCATGCTTTCTTTAACCACAAATTTGTATTTATTGGAAAACAAAACCACCAACTTTATATATCCAGCTTTATGTATAGTTTTATGGTGATAATTGATTACTTTGTGATTATAGAATCAAGAATCATTTATTCTTAAGTTTTATTTGAGAATGTTGATGAGATACATTAATTCATCCTTTTCTGGGTAAATGAGGTTTCTTTCATTTACAGAATGAATCTATTGCTCCTTAGCAGTGTTTTTGTAATAGCAAAGAAGGGCAAATTAACTTGATTAGAAGCAGCCAGGAGAACCAGTGCCTCTTAGTACAGATAGCAATGGGACCTACCTGGGGCTTCTTGACTTCTACTTGGTATGTGGGAGATTACATAGACTTATATTTACTTGCCCCACAAAGTACCATTGTGCTGGGTCCAGTGTATTCCTTATTGCTGTCTTTGAGTCTTCTGCTGAGGATTCTTTGAGTCCCTTTTATAGACGCACACTGACTCTTGGGTTTATTCTGAGATTTGGAACCAGTAATCTGCTAAGATTACTACTACTTTTCATTTCTTTTCCTTGAAAGCTGAAGCCTTTATTTGGCTCTTAGATCCAAAGCAAACATGTTATACGTTGGTCGAGAAGAGGGTAACTCTCTTATTTCTTTATCCCTAACTAAAAGCAGAACTGTAACATACCAGGTACATTGTTTCTGTCATTTTTTTAATCCTTCGTCAGTTAGATCTAAGTTGATTGATGTAATTGGAAATCCTAGATTAATTTACTTTTCCCTAATAGGGCAAAATGGTCTAATTAGATCAAGGAACCAACTATATTCACCAGTCTTGCAAAGACTAGATTATTATGAAAAAAGAAAGTAGTGCAATATTTGAATTGTAAATCCTTAAGGTCATCTTTTTTAAAGAAAGAAAAAAAATTTCCTTCCATTTAACCATTTAACACCCCAAATCCCTTCTCTTCTCTTGTCCCTCCCCCCCAATAATACTGAAAGTGATTTGGGGCACCCAATCTTCCTTAAGTTTGAAAAAATTTACCAATTAATGGACCTGTATTTCTTCATGTGCAGAAAAATGAATCATCTAAATCTGTGTTTGTAAAAGGTATGATAAAAAGTCACATTCATGTATTTCTTTACAACTTAGAAAAATAAGGATGCAAAAGCATAGTAAAGCAGGTTTTAAATTTCTGTTCCTTGGAAGCGTGAGATGTTTTCTTGGGTTGTGCTTTGAGATTCTGTATTATTATGGTAAGGATCCAGATTAATGATTTCATTTTTCTTCTATTTTTAACATAAAGCTAAGATTGAAGTGAAAGTTTTTACGTGAAATCCTAACTCATTTCCTTTCTGAGCTTTTAAGCCAATGGAACACTCTAAATCAGTTTCTACCCTATCCCCATAATGGGGAGCAATTCTCTAAAAATAACTTTTTAAATCGTCTTTTGCTCTTGAGTTCAGGGCCTGTCTATGGTGGTGTGGAAAGGGCAAGTTCTTTTATTAGCTGTTGGAAAAAGAACAGGCCTACTTTCCCAGAGTTGTTTGCTGTAGGAGCTGGTGATTCCATAAGGATCGTCACTGGTCGGCTATAAAATGTGGTCCATACCAAAGCACTTGAAGCAAAAGTCAGAGCTCCTTGATGTTTTGGTCCATTTAGCAGAGCACTTTGTGGTTCCTTTGGCAAAGGCCTATGAAATGATATTGAGCTTCCCATTTGTATCCAGGGTATCTATTTATAAAAGTTGATCATGTTGGGGAAAGGAGTAGATGGGAGAATAAAAGTATATCTTTTCAAAGTCTGTCACTGACTTAATTTTGCTTCAGGATAAATCAGTTTCTCTCTTTGGCCCGGCGCTGTTTCCACATCCATAAAATGGTATCAGTAGCCTACCTCTGGTGGACATAGGTATCAGAAGTAGCTTAGAATGTTATAGCTAGATGGCACCTTAGAAATAATTTTTTCCAACCTCTCATTCCCCCATTTCACAGATGATGACTCTGAGAAGTGATTTTGCCAAGGTCACACTGATTCAGAACAGCCAGTTGACACTTCCCTTCAGCTCAAGTATTGAATCACACGCATCTAAGTCTGTTTCCTACATACAACTGGTCATTAATGAAACTTCATTTCTATGTTTGCTCTTGCCCTTTAAGCCTGTGCCTACAGCATTGGCCCAGGTGGATAGAGAGAAGATCTATCAGTGGATCAATGAACTGTCCAGTCCAGAGACAAGGGAAAATGCTCTCCTGGAGCTGAGTAAAAAGCGTGAATCTGTTCCTGACCTTGCCCCCATGTTATGGCACTCTTTTGGTACTATTGCAGCTCTCTTACAGGTAGGTATATATTGGACCATGGCAGTTTAGTCTTGTTCACTACCTATCTCTCAGCATTTCCTAAATGAATTGGAAGAGTGTCTGCCAAGATTCAGCAGGCAATCTTTCATGGCAACTGGAAGAGGGTTGGTTGTAAGAAAGAGATAGTTCATGAGATGCATTCTTATAGCTAAGAACAAGAGTGCATTTATATGCTAGGAGAAGCAAGAGTTGAGACCTGAGGAAGTTATTAATGCAGAATGAAAGGAAAGCAAATTTGTGTATTTTAAAAGGGTTATCTGATGTCAGAAGGGTCTTTGTTGAGAAATATGATAATGGGGAAAGCTTCTAAAATAGGATAGGGCATGAGTAGTGAGGGAGAACATAGAGTTTTTCCTATGCTTTATTTTTTCCAAATTAGCTCTCCTTCCCTTAAAATGTTTCATAAAGTTCCCAAACATTTATCTTCAGACTTTCAGATCCGTCAGGTAGATTATTTTCCTGTATCAAATAGTACTCAAAGCATTCTTTGTTATTTTTCCCCCTATTCTGGAGTTTTAATTATTGAAGTAATGAAGTCATCAGCATAGTACTGAGTATTTCCAGATAAACACACGCATATCTCTATTTCATTTTATCCCTTTTTGTTTGTAGCCCAGAGTAGATTTTTTTTTTTTTTGAGTAATGGGGTGAAGTGACTTGCCCAGGGTCACACAGCTAGTAAATGTTAAGTATCTGAGGCCAAATTTGAACTCAGCTCTTCCTGAATCCAGGCCGGTGTTCTATCCACTGTGCCATCTAGCTGCCGCTAGAGTAGATTTCTTTATGCCTAAATTAAAAATAGTAGCCAGAGGTACTGTGGTTCAACTATGTTACCGATTCCTTTATAAAGATTACTGATGGAAACATTTCGAAACTTTGCATTTAAAAAGTAGTCTGTTCTTTAATCTCAAACTCAGCATTTTAAAGTTATTATTAGTTGATTTGTACTATGATCTAAATCTTTGTAGGGGCTACAGTTCCCAAAGACTTGTTAATTTTGTATTCCTCTAAATAAAGAAACAAAAGGCTTGGTAATTTAGGTTAAGGATTAAAGATTTCTGGATGGTAGGGATTCCAGAGGGCATCTGGTCCAGTCCACTTCTTTGACAGATTAGGCTGGTTCAGTGACTTGTCTGAGGCTATCCAAGTAGTATATATTAGATATCATTTGCAAGAGGGTTTGGAACCCCAGTCATCTGATTTCCTCCACTCTTTCCACTTTACCATGTTGCCTTCTGTAGGGGAGATGCACAGACTCCAGGTTTTAAGGTCTGTGGCCTACCTGAGAACTGTAAAGTGGAGAGGAATGGGGAGGACAAGGCTTTGCTAGAATTTGATGTCCTGCTGTGCAAATCTGAGCAGTTCAGGGTGCCAGGATCTCTGTGGGCCGACTGTCATAAAGCAGGGGTAACCAGGATTGTTCTTCAGAGCTTCAGAACCATGCACTTAAGGTGTAACCGAGCATTTCCTGTTGACCTAGTGCTATTTCATTTTTAGGAAATTGTAAATATTTACCCGTCTATCAATCCACCTACCTTGACTGCACATCAGTCTAACAGAGTTTGCAATGCTTTGGCACTATTGCAATGTGTGGCATCACACCCAGAAACCAGGTAAGTGCTTTGGATGGAATGGGATCCAAATTATGCTTAATTGGGGAGTGAGGATTGATTTGCACTGTTGGTTTTTTTTTTTAATTGATATCCTAGAAGAAATAATGGTAATAATATTAATAGCTAGCTAGCTTTTATGTAGTACTTAATAAATATTATTTCATTTTATCCTTAAGACAATTCTGGGAGGTTGGTGCTATTTTCCTCATTTTACAATTGAGGGAACTGAGGCAGACAAAGGTTAAGTGACTTTCCTGGGTCACATAGCCAGTAAGTGTCTGAAGGCAGTTTTGAACTCAGGTCTTCCAGACTCTAGGCCCAACACCCTAAGTACCATGCCACTTAGGTGCCTGATGATGAGAAAATAAATCCTCCCTTCATTTGCAAAGGTTAAGGTCCATTGCATATACTGTCAGACTCTCTTGATGGGTTGGTTTAACTTGCCAAATTGCTTTTATTTCTTTTTATGGCAGGGTTGTTTTTTTTTTTTTTTTTTTTTTTTTTTTTGGGGGGGGTTTTTTTTTTTTTTTTTTTTTTTTTTGCCATGGGAGGAGGGGTTTACAAGAGACAAGTAAAGGAAGGAGAAAAGGGATATATTCAGAAATGAAGATAATATTTTTTTAAAATCCATCAGACATTTTAAACTTGATTTTTTTTAAAGTTGACATTGCTTACAGTTTGTTTCCAAATGTGGGCTATGTCCACATTGGGGAGGGGGGAGAGGGGGGAATGGACTGCTAACTGCCTTTGCTGATCAGAGACTATGTGATTTAGGTACTTTCTGCCATATCAATCCTGAGGGCATTGTGGGCATTCAGCATTAACTTTATTCAGAAGTTCTTCTTTTCTCTCTTTGAAATTTCTAAATCTACAGAATTAGAAAATTGTATTGATAATGACCTTTGTGTGTTACATAAAAAATTAAATTATTCAAAGCTCTTGTGTGTTTGCTGATAATCTTAGGAACTGGCTGTAGTATTTCCAACCATGGAAAATTCCATTTTAGCCACCCTGTTTATAGCTCAGCATTGGTTGTATTACTCAATTGCAAATTAAAATAAACTCAGCAAACCTTTATTAAGTGCCTTCTACTTATGCTAATACTAGACATATAAAGTCTTTTTAAAAAATGGTACCTTCAAGGACCTTAAATTAGAGGAATAAGATGCCCACAAATCACTATGATATAATGTAGAACATAAAGACAAAATAGATAATATTTTCACTTGGGGAGACCAAGGAAGGCTTAATGGAGAAAGTAGCGCCATACGGTAGGCTTTAAAGGAATAGGCAATGATGAGAATACATTTCAGACATGAGTGGTAAGCCTGCACAAATTCTGTGCAAGGAACTGTTAGGAATACTATTTCGATGATTAGAGAGTGGAAAGAGCAGTGTGAAATGTAGAAAACTGTAAATTGAAGCCAGATTGTTGAAGAATCTTATATGGCAGATCCAGGACTATGTACTTTATCCTCTGGGCAGTAGGGAGTCACTTAGGGTTTTGTTTTTTGGGTTTTGAGTGTTTTTTTTTGGTTTGTTTGTTTGTTTGTTTTGAGAAGGCGAATGAGTTGGTTAGAGCTGTGTATTTGGAATATTCTTGTGGCAGCTATCTGAAAGAAGTATTGGAAAGGAGAGAGATTAGTTGAGAGACTATTAAAATAACAAATATATATGTGTATATGTTCATATAGCGTTACAATGGATGACTCAGGAAAAAAGCTATTAAAAAATAAAACATTTAAAATAAAATAAACATTTTATGTGTATGCGTATGTATATGTATACATACATATATATGAATGAAGGTAAAAAAGAGGGAAAGAGTAAAGAATTATTCAAGTTTCATGATTGGGAGGATATTGTCACCATAAATAGGGAAGCTAGGAGGAGAACCATGCCAGGTGTAGAAGGAAGATGGCTTCAGTTTTAGACATGTTGAACTTGATGTGGCAGTGGAATGTCTAGGTAGAAGTCCTCCTGCCAGCTATTAGAAGTATAGGACTAGAGCTCAAGGGAGAGATCAGGGGTGTGTGTGTGTGTGTCCATATCCTCTTCATAGAGGCAGTATCTAAAACCAGTAGAGTGGATGATATCTCTAAGAAAATGTAGGGCAAAGAGAGGTGAAGGCATAGCCTTGAGGAACAGTCACAGTTGACAAAGGGCACCAAAGACTGATTCTCTCTCTCCAAGATGGACAACCAAAAGAGAACACAAAAGGCAAGGATATTAAAGAATATTAAGAATATCTGAACAGTTCTTACAAGGAATCCAGAATGAATTTGCACAGAAGTGTGTAGCAAAAAAAAAAGTGTGTAGCAAATAAACCTGGAAAGAACAGGTTTATTTCTTTGCTGTGGTTTGAAAGATTTTACCTGACTATACTTAAAGAGATTTGTCATAATCTGAGGGGGAGAGCACGTCAATGAGTCTGTTCTGACTATTTAACAGTCTTTTATGACCTAAGAAAAATTTAAAACTAACAACCCTGAAATTTCATTTAAAATTATTTTCTAAAATATGGTTATATGTGCTGTTAACAGCATGAAGTATGTATTCACTTATCCATTGGGTCAACCTAGTGGAAGGTGAAATAGATTTGTCGCCTAAAAAACTTCCTACAGTAGACATAGGCCAGTGCGTAGTAGAAATAATTACCTGATCATCTTTAAATATTAGAAATCAACAACATTAAATTCTGAATATGATTGTTTTCTTTCCAAGGTCAGCATTTCTTGCAGCCCACATACCCCTGTTCTTGTATCCCTTTTTGCACACGGTCAGCAAGACTCGTCCCTTTGAATATCTTCGTCTCACCAGCCTTGGAGTTATTGGTAAGTTATTGGGCTTCTTTTACAAGCCTAAGACCATCATTCTCAATAGGTGGTATAAGTTCTTTTCTACCTCTTATTGCTTGTTCACTCAATATTCATTTCAGTCTTATAGATTATGTCTGTTTCTATCAATGAACAAAAGGGAAAATCGTATGGGCCATTTATCATACACCATTCTGAGAAACTGGAACTTGCTATTATATATTCTTAGGAAAGACCAAAAGTGATTAATATTTTATGATGCAGCCATGGGACTACACCTTTCCAGATGTTAGCAAGAAAGACTGTCATGTAGCAGTACAGTCAACACATATGTGAAAGGAAAAAACTCTAAACTTTGGGTACCAGGGAGAAGGGTTGTAGCAATAGGATTCAGTTTAGTGAGCAAAGGTAATCTTTGGAGCATATAGTTTTTTATTCTCTCTTCTAGACAGACAGACAGACAGACACACACACACACACACACACACACACACACACACACTCTCTCATTCTGGGCTGATTTCTCCTATTTATCTAGCCAAATGCTCACAATACTCAAGTTAATGTATCTAAACTTCTCCTTACTGTTTTGCTAGAGTATTCATTGAATGCTTTTGTCTCCACCAGAAAATAAGATAGGCCGTTTCTGCCCCAGACTCTAGGTAGTTAAAGGATTTCTGCAACTTCTATGGCTCTCTCCAACATGATTTCTTTTTCCTTTCTTGGTGTTTCATTTTTGACATCTGTAATGTTGTTAGCTAATATTAAACAAGAGAATTGACCATAGAAGCCTTTTTGTGTTGGCAGTATTTTCATTTAAACTTCAGTATTATAAGACTGTGAGGTAGCTTGACTACTAACCAGGGAGAATTTGTCAAAAGAGAGGTATAAACCAATATTAAAATGAGTGATGAAAGACCCTATAACTTTAGAGTCATGAATAGCTTACTTTCTAGGACTAATGTTTTAAAAACATAGCTGCCCTTTTTTTACCCTTCTAAGACATGACTATTCATTGATTCGTACACGGTTAGTAAATGTTGGTTTGTATGAAATTTCCATACCCAGATGTTATATGAGTTAGAAATGCTTTCAAAATCAAACACTTCTGCTTCCAAGCTGTAAAAGCTACTTAATTTAGCCTTTTAAACGTCAGCATGTCTCCTGGACAAAAATTCACTAATCACCTGTACTTTACTTCTTTCTCAACCTATTGCAGTGTAATGATGCTTTTATGAAAGGTTAGAAGGGGAAGAGCATTCAAAACAGCACTGTTAGACTGATTCCTTCCCCTGTCATAAATGTTTTCAAAGAAACTGAGCTTGTCAGATCACTCAAAGAAGTAATGTTTGAGGGTCCATCCATCTCTCGCGTCTTAGGAGTCATAGAGGTTGAGTTTTGAATTCAGTTATGTTTGTAACCTGTTGTGAGATTTAATATGGAAATGTAGTCATTGGTAGTGGTGGCTTTTGTCAACTTCTGTTTTTGGTTCCAATAAATGATACCTCCCTATGAACTATTGTTTTAGGAAGAGAAAATGTATGACCTTAGACATATGGTGCAGCATATTTTTTAGTGTATTTCCTGAGGCAAGGTGCTTATCTTCCAGAGTTCAGATTCCTTATATAGAATATTAGGACTATATCACTGACCTCTTGTGCTTCTCAGACTGGAGAGAACCTTAGGGATTGTCTAATGCCCATGGTCACAGTTATTAATAACAAACTTCAGGTAGTACTTTTTCTGCTATATCACATTACCTTAAAAAGGTGAGTACCTTGGTAGGTACCAGCTAAATAAATAGTTGTTGTAGGGGGCAGCTAGATGGTCTGAAGTCAGGAGGACCTGAAGTCAGGTAGGCCGGAGTTCAAATCGAGCCTCAGACCAAACACTTGACACTTACTAGCTGTGTGACCCTGGGCAATTTGCTTAACTCCAACTGCCTAAAGTTAGAAAAAAAAATAGTTGTATCTAAAGAAACTCATGGCCTCTCTTTTTTTTTTTTTTTTTCAACCAGATACATCATAGGGCTATAGAGCAACATTTTTCTCTCTTAACTGCAACTCATAAGAAATTCCAGGGAAAGTTAGGTCACTGCTTTCTTTTCTAAGGACTGATTTAGTTGACAACCAAGTAATGGGCCAGTGCCATGGAAACACTGGTAATATAAAGTGTTCCCAGGGGCCTCACCTTTGATTTGTCAGGCGACTGACAGCCTACTCTTTTTTTTTTCCCTCCATATTTAATCATCATTAGGAGGGTAGGAATCTAATCTCCACTTAGATACAAACCACAGCCACTGAAATTTTGACCTTGATTCTGTTTTGTGGCTTCTGTACTCCCCCAACCAACTGGGCAAGCAATTCAGGGTGGTTTTTAAGTGGAAACACTCTCTGAAAATAAAGTGCATTTGTCCATAATTCTTTTCTTTAGGGGCCCTGGTCAAAACAGATGAACAAGAAGTAATCAACTTCTTATTGACGACAGAAATTATCCCTTTATGTTTGCGCATTATGGAATCTGGAAGTGAACTTTCCAAAACGGTATGTGCTTTTAGTTTAATGAGATTCTTGTTATTTTGGTTCTTGGGCCTTGGGCCCTTATTCACTATGTCTATGTCTTTTTATTCTAAGTGGTTCAGAGTTTTGGGACCTCTTATGAGACATATTTAAACTTAGCTTTTTGCAGCTTTGAAAGAAAACCATTCTTCTTTGGTATATTTTTAATTTAAGTAAAATACATGCTTTGATTTATGATAGACGACTCCAAAGAATAACACCCTTTTATCCTTGCCTGATTATTACTGTTGTTATGTTCTCTTCCTTATTGAACTTAAGTGAGGAATTGTTGTAAGCTCCTTTTCCCTGAGTCAGAATAGCTGGAGTTGGTACCTCATACCTTCCCAGGACCCATTTGGAACAGGCCGTGCTGAAGTTCAGATCTTTGTCTAAGTATTAATGTAAAATAAATTAGAGTTAAAAGATGAGAACACTTCACTGTGGAACTTTTCCAGGTATATGGCCCACTTGGGTTTGAGAAAGCATGTATAATTCTAACCATGTTATAGTAGATGGTTGTTTGTCAAGAATTTTTTATTTACATTGCAATTTATCATAGTGTGGCCCTTTAAATCTCTTGTACTTTACTACTTGTGTGACTTTGGGCAAATGACTTCCTCTCTGAGCTATTCGTTCCTCATTTTTAAAATGGGAAGACTGAACTAGATTTTCTCTAAGGTTTCTTCCAATTCTAAATCCCTGCAAATTGGACCCGGTTAAAAGGGGAATGGTGAGAATAATTCATGCTAGAAAATAGGCCTTTAAAGGATGCTTAAAGGCATTAGAGTATTTACATTGAATACAACAAGAATAAAAGGAGAATAGATTAGTGACACACTTTATGTAAAGTTGAATATAATGATCTGTTTTCTATAATAATAATAATTATAATACCAGTTCAGTTACATGTTACTTCAGAGATTATGAAGCATTTTCTTCACAACTCTGTGAGATATAGTGCTAGTATTATCCCCATTTTGTAGATGAAGTAATTAAAGCTCAAAGTAAATGTCAAGTAAATGCCAGAACTCAATTTTTTTTTTATTCCCAAGAATAGTAGTACCCTTTCCATTATATCACACTGCCTTTTCTTTTACTACTGAAGACCTTATAAGTGTTCACTTTAATTCACCAGTATTCCAGTGCTGACTGCTTATGTGGCAATAGAGTTCCTAGCCTCTTCTGTCCTCCCCTTACATCGAGCTTTCTGGACCAACCCCCCTTCCCCTGTTGTATCATTAACAGGCTTGCTCTCATACCTTCTGTACCTGGCTGCTTCCTCTAATACTGGGACCTTGATCCATTCATCTCCATCTGTCTCCTCTGAGAGCTTAGCCCTTCAGTCATCCCTTCATCACTTCTCTTCAGTCTTGCCTCATCTGTTATCTCCTTCCTTGCTGCCTATAAACACATTTCATTCTCTCCTATCCTAAACCTCAATTTTGACCTTTCCACTTCCTCAAGTTTTTGCCCCGTATCTCTCCTTTATTTTACAGCCCAGATCCTAAAGGGGGGAAAATTATCTATGCTTGTTGGCTCCACTTCCTCATCTCAGCTCACTGCAGTCTGGCTTTACCAATCCACTCGGCTGAAATTGCTCTTTCCAAGATTACCTGCAGTCTGTTAATTGTTAAGTCCGGTCTTTGTCAGGACACATTCTTGACTTCGGCAGTTTTTTACATCAGTGACCCCTCTTTTCTCCTGGATCTCTCCTCTAACTTTTGTACCACTGCTTTCTTGGTGGGTTTTTCTACTGGCTGGACATACTCCTCTTCAGTCTCTCTTGCCCCATCATTATCCATGTCTTCTCCCTTAAGCTCTGTCATAGGCCTTGTCTCTATAGACCCTCTTTCTTGGTGGAGTTGTTGACTCCCATGAGTTCAGTTGTCATTCTGGCTCTTTATATGCACTTTCATTTCTCCTGAGAGATGTCAAATTAGAAGCAGGAAAGTCTTGAGTTCAACTCCTGTCTTTGACATATACTGCCTATGTAATCATGGTCAAGCTCAACCACGAAGTGCCCTAACCATGGCTATGGTTGAAGATAAGTTGTTGTTCTGCATTGGTAGAAAGGAGTTTCCGTGCCTGTACTTCCCCTCAGAGTTGAAATCACGGTTCTGGACCATCCCTCATCTCTCTCGAGCTCCAGTTCCATATCATCAGTTGCCTATACCACATATCTATCTGGATAGTCTCATAGGCATGTCACACTAGCCATGTCCAAGTTGACACATCATCTTCAGTCCTAAATGCCTCTTTCTGCTAAATGTCCCTATTTCTATTGAAGGAACTACCTTCTTCCTACTTACCCAGATCTGAAACCTTGGAGTTAGTTATCCTTGACTGTCTTCCTCATTCCTGCCCCAGTCAATCTCCAGTTCTTATTAATTGCATAATGTCTCTCACATCCACTTCCCTCTCTCCTATGGCTCGCATCCTATTTCAGGCTTAGTTGAATTCTTCCCTGCTAGTCTTTTTCCTCCCCAATTCAACCTCCACATCAGTCCCTCTACTAAATTCTCTTCAGTGGCTCCCTGTTGCCTCTAGGATAAAATACAAACTTCTCCACTTGGCATTGAAAGCCTTACACAGCCTTCCTTTCCAGAACTCCCTTTCAGGCACTTTGGGCTGCTTGTTGCATCCTGTGCATGATACTCCATATCTCTTCTCTTTGCCTTTGTACAAGTTATCCTGAATAACTGGAAGGCACTCTGTCCCCGTCTCTGTTGCTGAGTTTGCTTAATTTTGTTCAGTATTCAGTTCAGGTGCCACTTCCTACAGGAAGTCTTTTCTAATACCCCTAGTTGTTAACTGTCCTCTCTTCCCTCTAGTCATATTGTATTATCTGTTTCAATGTCCTATCCCTCACTCCCCAAAAAATAAAAGTATATTTAGGGTCAGAGACTATTTCTTATTTTTTTCTTTGTATCTCCTCCATGTAATAGGAACTTAGTAAATACTTGTTGAATTGAGTTGCGTAAGTGTTGATGAGCTTAATCTGAGACAGGAAGAGTTTGGACTTAACTTGACAGGAATTTTATTTCCTGAGACTCTTTTAAGAAGGCAGAAATATTCACATTCTCCCAAATCCTCATCTAGAAATGATCATTGGAACCTAATTGAATCCTGAAGACCTGGGACCAAATTTCTTGAAACCAAAGTAATTCTTTCTAGTAAATAAACCTGGTAGGGTCCATGATGATGCGTAAAACTACTTTTTTGGGTCGCTCTGTCCAGTATTCTTGAATAGCCTCTGTTAACTTGAACTATGAATTTAGCATCAACTCTTTCTATTGGCTGTGTATCTTCTTTGCTCCCACTTGAAATATGGAGCCCCAAGTTCTCCATCTGATCACTTTGCTATAACCAACAGGACTCTTGGAGGGAGTGGAGGTGTTAGAAGACATTTGGCATCCCCAAAAGCTAGACTTGTTCAATTTGTTTTACACCAGGTCGCCACATTCATCCTTCAGAAGATTCTCCTGGATGACACTGGACTGGCCTATATATGTCAGACGTATGAGCGGTTCTCCCATGTCGCCATGATCTTGGTGAGGTCCTTTGCCTATCATCCCTTTTACTTAAATTCTGTTGACTACGGCTTAGTCATTTTGTTATTGGGGCTAAACAATCTGAAGCCTCCATTTGGAAGTAGCAGTTTGGAAACTTTCAAGTAGTAGAATGCATTTACTGTATTTTGTTTTTAATTTTGGGGAAATAGGGTAAGATGGTCCTGCAGCTGTCTAAGGAGCCTTCTGCCCGTCTACTGAAGCATGTGGTCAGATGTTACCTTCGCCTTTCAGATAACCCCAGGTAAACATTTATAGTATATGTAAGGAATTAAAGAAAGAACTAGCAAAATTATTGCCCTCCCACTAGGAAGTAGTGGCTTTCCTATGTTCTCAGAGTGAAACCAGAAGGGATATAGCCATACTTTACTCTTCTAAGTTCAGAGCTTTCAGAATAGCTTTTAAAAATATGAAATACTGATTTAAAAACCCATGACATCTGTGCCTAAATGCTTCCTTCAATCCACATCTGAAATGGCAGACAATCAGCATGTAGCCTTTCCTTGACTTAATGTACTTTAGTCTTTGTGGTTTGGAGTTCTCATTGCCCCAGAGGATGAGAAAAACATTGATTTAGAAGGACCAGCTTGGCTGGTGCCTTCATGAGCCATCTTCTTAGTTGTGTCCCACATCTCCCTTAGGGATCTTAGTGGCAGTACTTCACCTCACTGTGCTTCTTGGATCCAAATAAACCACTTTGCAGATAATGTGTATATTAGAAATGTTGACTAGCAAGTTCTGATATTTTTGTTAAGTCCATCAGTCATGATGAAGACCTCGCGGAAATGGTCAGAGATTCTCAGGCCAGTTGACAGGGTCATTCACATATCTCTTTAAGTCGGGCCTGGAGTTTAATTCTTAATTCAACCTCTAGTCAGTGGGGTAGGAACATAGGGAGCCTGGCCATTTCTCCAAAGATTTGTTTCTTCGGAAGATCATCAACTGAGGCTTCCCTGTTTAAGCCAGAGTTTGAAAATCTAGTAACTTTTAGTTCCACGTTTACATAGCCAAACTAAGTACAGAAAGGCCAAAAGCGATTTGGGCTGAATCAAAATTATAGAGTAATACATGCTGTCTTCTGTAATTTAATAGCATTCTGTTGAAATCTTTCCTAAATTCAAAAGTAAGCAGAATTGGAACAAACTTAATCTTTTGGTTTTGTTTTTCTCCATTGAACTCCATGGGGGTGTTTTGAATTCTATACTACAAGAATGGGGAGAGCAAACAGGTGGCCCAGGTGAGCCCCAGGAACAGGGGCTATGGTGCAGGGGTAGATGTTTTTGTTGCCAGTTTGAACTAACTGTAGATAGTCTAGGCCCCAAGTGTTTGTGAGCAAGGCCACATCTCTGCCCTGTAATGTGGGCTCATTTGTGGTTCTCTTGGTTGTTCTTCTCCAATGTAGGGCTCGTGAAGCACTCAGGCAGTGCTTGCCTGACCAGCTGAAAGACACCACCTTTGCCCAGGTGCTCAAAGATGACACCACTACCAAGCGCTGGCTCGCACAGCTGGTGAAAAACCTGCAGGAAGGCCAGGTCACTGACCCACGAGGCATCCCCCTGCCCCCTCAGTGACCTTCCCCATTCCCTCCCGCTGTCCCCCAGCCTGGGGCAAAGGAGGGAAAACCATCGAGGAAAGCAGCTCAGGTTTTACCGCTGACCTCAACGCCAAACCGCACTGGAGAAAAGGGACAAACCCCACTGAGGCGTATGGGTGCCATCCTGGACTACCCTGAAGATCTGGCCTCATTCCGCTGCTCCAAGGAATAGGTTCCCCTCCCAGCACCCCTCACAGCCCAAGGGGGTTGCGACACCAGCAAATGCAGTAATACAGCATGCCCAAGACTACCCTCCTCCCCTACATTCTCCTGTTCCCTGACAGGGAGGGGATATAGTAACAGCAGCTGCAGCATAGGGCATGGTGGATGCCTGGGACCAAGCCATGTGGCATTTCCCATTTTTGCCTTTCTGTAAGACTAGAGACATGTCTCTTCATTCTCAGTGGTGTTTTTTGTTCTTTTTTTCCTCAAGGAGAGAGGTGTAAATCGTGGGCACAGACTGAGATGTTCAGCAAAACATTGTCACTTGGTACTGTTTACAAGTCTTTTAGCTGCACAAGCTAAATTAAAAAGTTGGTCCAGGCATTAATTAGATCCCCTTTGGCAAGCCAGTTATAAGCTGCTTTGAGCCATTTAGAGGTAGGGGAAGGGTGGGAGGGGTGAGAAACAAGGGAAAAGCCAGAGGACAGTAGACACCCACCATCATTATTGCTCCCTAACCCTAAACTCGAGTGCTGCTGCCTGCCCACCCACCCACCCTTCTCCTCCCACTGCTTCCTCCTGTTAGGAGGAACTTCCCCTCCAGTGATAGGCCTTGTTTCTGGCTTCAGCTGCTGTGTCTTGTCACATCCTTCTCGCTTTCTGTTCTCCTGTAAGAGACTGTCCTGAAACTGGAGGATGTGGAGAAAGTCCTGGCCCATGTTCTCAAAGTTTTCCTGGATTTTTCCTTTGGAATGCTTTGTAGAAGGGTGAGGATTGAGGTGGAGGGGCTCAGCCCCAGAACCCCATCCTTGGCTCTAGGGTACATTTCTGTAGCTCCCATTGCCTCATTCTACTTGAATCAGTATTAGCTAGCTGAGTCTGCTTTATACATATGTCAAGGGCGGGGCCCCATGTGCTTGATCCTTTGTCCCCCTTGGCACATTCCCTTTTTGTCTGAGAATTACAGGGTTGCCATTAAAAGATTATTTTCCTATTCATACAGTGAAAGAAAAAAAAAAAAACCTTTCCCTCACTGCCTCTTGTGCCCAGGTGGCTGTGCTTCCACTTTGGTGGTAAGTTTGAAGCCTCGGCCTAATGCCCAGACAGGTGAAGGACCCATCCGTATTCCTTTCCAACATAGGGTTGATAATATCCCCCAACCCTGGAGAGGGAGGGACTGGTTCTTTTTCCCATTTGAGATAGCTTAAAGTATCTGTGCGAGATTGTGGGGTGGAAGAATCACAAGGGCCAGGCTCACAAAGTGTTTCAGAGGCAATTTTGCCAACATAAGGGCTCTTTAAGGCCGACCTTCACAAATGGAGCTGGCCTCATTGGTTGGCCTCTGCCTCTTCAGAACCAACGTCGCCACCACTGTCAGATTGTAGATTGGTTAGACATACCATATCCAGAGCTGGATTCTGCATACTCACTAACTCAGCTACCTTCCAGAAGGGAGAGAGGGAAGCCTGCTGTGTATAATCCAAACCCAAGGAAGAAAAGGGTTTGAGAAAGCCAAAGGCATCATGTGCTACATGAGCTGTCTGACTCCATTTGGCCTGTCATCTACAAGGAGAGGAGGCCCATGAGGGGAACCCTGATCCCTGCCAACTTTACTCTTGCTGAGCCAAAGGTTTTCCACTCCCCCTCTGCTGGGGAAGCAATTGAAGCCCAGGGCTTCCTTCCTGGGAAATTGTCTTCTCTCCTGTCTTTTGGTGCGTTGGCCATGTTACTGTGCCAATAGTGTCTTAACTCTTGCCCCATTTTCCCTCCCTAACCAGCCTTGGAACCCCATAGAGGAGGCAGGGAAAAGACGGGTATTATTCCTTGCAAGTTGGTTTTGATTTCATGTATGTAAAGAATGCCCCATTTTGTGTTTTTTCATCCTAACAGGATTGAAATAAAACATGCTTCTGTTTTGTAATAGTTTTTTTTTTTAATTGGAGATTTTATCTGTGTATTTGTGGGATGCCTAGGAACTCTGGTCAGATGATCTGACCTCCAGAGGGAGTTAGTATTCCACTCTGTGCTGTATCTGGGCCACCCTAGGAAGAGGTGGGATGTCTACCTGAAAAATAAGGGTCTCTTAGAGCCAGAGAAGGTGTCTGTATCTGCCTGACCCCTCTATACGCTAGGCACAGACAGCCCCTTGGTCTGACTACACTCAGGGAGAACCACCCAACTTCCTCCATCCCTAACTTTGAACATCTTCCAGTGAAACGGCTGGACTTTGCAGCTGATGTGAGCATTGAATAATTCTATGTTGTGCTTTTGCTTTCATCTCCTGAGAGACTGAGTCTTAGTGCCCTTCTTCATTGTTGTTTCCATGCCTTGTACGTCCTTCCTGGCCCTTGGAGGGCTGCCTGGTTCTCTGTGGGGCACACAGTTAGCTTGGCTGCCAGCATGTTTGCTGCTGTCTGCAATGGCCTAGGATGGTTTTGAATTAAGGAATCGATGGTGTTGGGAGGAGGGGGTTGCCACAGCCTCAAAATTTCCAGAATAATTCATTTTAACTATTTGTCCTTTTTGGAACATGTCAGCCCCACCCTCCCTCAGAATGAAATGGGGCTGGTTGAAAAGATAAAAAATTGTTATTCAATGCTAAGTGGAAGCTGTTAGCTGAAATGAAATCTAGATGTTTGCTTTTAATAGGGTTCTGAAAACATTTTAAAGAAATTTAGGGGTGGAATGCTGTGAACAGAGAAGAGGTGGGGGTTCATGGGGGAGGAGCAACGAATAGGCCTTCTGAGTAACAAAAGCAGTGACCCTGGGAAATGAGGACATGGGTGGGCAGTCTGTCAGGAATTTTCAAGAGCTTAAGTCCAGGTGGCAAGGTGAGACTTCATTAAAGTGTCAAGACCCTAAAAAGTCTTAGGGTTCCTTGAGAACCAAAATACCTTCTGACCTCATGCAACATGACTCTCAGTTAAAGAGACATACTTGAGCCAGGTCATATCAAAGTGGAAAAAGGAACCTTAAGGATCCATTTTCTTATCTGGGCCCTCTAAAGATTCAGAAATTGGGTTCATATCGAGGAAGCTGGGGTACAGAATGGTGGGAGTGGAGCTTCCTGCCAACTATTCTGCTAGCCTTAGGGCCTCTCACAAGACCTGTCCTGGGCACAATTCCCAGAAGATCCCTGGGCTCCTGCTGTCCTGCTCAAGTTTCTGGCCCTTTTAATAATAGACAACAATGGGGGAAGGGAAAAGAACTAGACCCTGGGTCCCTGTTAGGACCTTAAATCAGATGAATAGTTGCTGAACCAGGGTCCAGTTTATCTTCCGGTTTTCTGCAGTTGACATGGTTCTCCCTCTAGGATTGTACTAACCAAAGGAAGCAATGGAATGTAGCTGAAAGATCACCGATTCTCATCATTGCCCTGCTACTAGTTGGGTGACCTTGGCTAAATCAATCACTTATTTCCTCTAAACTTCCATTTCCTCACATATAAAATGGACATTGGATGAGGTGACATTTAAGACTTTCCAGTTCTAAAATCATTTGACTTGAGGGTCTCCCAGAATCTTCTCTAATTACCCAGAAGGGAAGGATTCAAGTGCAGCATAAGAATAAGGGGGGAATGGAGGCTCAGAGGTAGGTGGACTTTCCCAGACTAGGATCATATGTGGGTCTGGGGTGGATTCCCAAGGGAGTGGGTGAGGGTCAGGGAATAAGAATAACCCTGAGACAGGGTTGTGAAGTAGGTGGCCTCCAACCTGCCTCTGGGCCCCTTTTCCCCATTGGTCGCACCCCCTTCACTTCCCTTAGCTACCTTGAGTGGATTCTTTTTCTACTACCCATTTCCAAGCAGAATCTTAGAAATCTAATAAATGTAAGTGACAAATACAACGGGGGGTGGGCGTGGGGGGAGAATCCACACCTGTGATTTCATTGATTTGGGGAATTCTCAGTAAAGAAACATCAGATTGACCACTCTCCTAAAACTTCTATAGTCTTATAAAGTATATATAATGTAAACTCTTCCCATGGTACTTGGGTTTTAATAGGGTATATGTCTTTAGCTAGAGGAATGAGGTTCTAACAGTGAAAGTTCAGGAATATTGAAGATGGTTTACAGGGAACGTATTTGAGGGTTAGATGTTTTCTGTTGCCTCTAAAATGATGCCATATAGATGATTACCTATTATGTCTACAGTGAAGGCCAGCTTTTCTGGAAAGTTTTCTTGAAGCCATTTGCAGGTTTCTTATAGACCGAGAGAAATGTGGGTGGGTACTTATTGTGTGCCCTTAGCTACTGAGTGCCTGGGCCCCTGTGCGGTGGCAACCTCTGGCTTTCATGTCATGATCTCATCTTTTTGTCAGATAATCTGATTTTCCTCAGGTATGGGGGCTGGTGGGGTGGGGCAGGGCTGGGGTTGAGGGTATTGAGGGGGAGTTGCAGAGTTGATCTAGACCTAGACAGAATTGTAGAGGCTGAGTAGGTCCCAGTTCAGGTCACTGCTAAGATTTCAAGGGACAGAGAGCCAAGTTCGACTCAGCTATCGACACCAGGATAGTTTGCTCCTCCCTAAGCCTCAGGGTCAGTTTTGTCCTCTGGAAAATGTCACAACAAAACACTTCTCACAACCCCTCTTATGGGGTCTGAGGTGGAGTACAATGGAGCTCCTTCCCTTTGTACCTCCTTAGTGTTTCCTTCCACCTGCTCCCACACCCACCCCCTGAACTGGGCTTCCTGCTCTGGGTTTTCTAAATCCCTAGTCTCCCCTCATCATCAGAACCTTATACTACTTCTCTTTCCACATTCTCAACCTCTCCAATTCCTCCTAAAGGGATCTTGGCATTCACCCACCCATTTATCCATCAGTCCGACAAATAATTATTAGGCACCTACTATATTAAAGGCATTATAAAGTCCCTGGATAATCTGGGATTATCACTGCCCTCCTTCCCCCTCCTCTTCCTCCTGCCCTGATGCTGGACTGGGTGCTGTACAAAGCAGGTCAGACGGATGGGGGACCTGGCCAGTTGAAACAGAAACTGTTGAAGAGACAGCCTGGGCACAAAAGATAGCAGAGACAGAAGAATTACACAAAGGAAAACTACAGAGTAAAAAGCAGTGATTCACCAAATTGTACAGGCTCCAGATACTTCTTAGATTTCACTCTGAGAGCTACCGAAGACTTAGGGTCAGGGTTAAAACCAAGACGTGGGCAGCCAATGCCCTTTCTCAGAGGAGAGGTGGTACCCTTCACTCATACCCCTCCTCCTTTGTCAGATTCCTTGCCCAGCCCAGTGTCCTGGACCTTTAAGAGTCTGATAGGCAGGCCTGGGCAAAACACTCACCTCCGCCCGCAACCCCCTTCGCTTTGCTCTAAGTCAGCCAGTCACAGTGGCTGGAGAAGCTGAAGCCGAAGAAGGAGGGGAGGGAAGGGAAGGGAAGGAGAGGAGACAATATAACAAGAAGAGAAGAAACTGCTGCTGCACAAAGGAATTCCAGCACCGGGACGTGGGATTATCCTGGCCACGGTAAGAGGACTTGGGAGATTTCCTCAGTTTTACCCAACCTGTGCTTCCCTCGATTCTCCTGAAGCTCTGACTCCTACCTACTCTCCTATCCTTCCCCACCCCTAACCCAGATCTGTCCCGTGCGTGACCCATGACTCTGGCTCATCCTCAGAACTCTCTCCCCCAGGGATGGCTCTGCACAACCAGCCCCTAGGCTATCTCTAGTTTATGCCCTATGCTTTCCATTCTTTTGCCCCGTCTATACTAGTACTCAACAATCTCTTAGCTTCTCTCTCTCTCTCTTTCTCCTCCTTTCTCTTTTTCTTTCTCTTCTGTTTCTCTTTCCTCTTTCTCTGTCTCCTGTTTCTCATTCTCTTTTTCTTTCTCCTCTCTCTCTCTCTCTCTCTCTCTCTCTCTCTCTCTCTCTCTCTCTCTCTCTCTCTGTCCCTCTCGTTGGAAGATAGATGGGTCCCGTCATTAACAACAATTGATCCAAACTTCTTTACTGGACAAGGGCTGTGGTCATTTACCGCAAGTTTAAACTGAGGAGAAAATTCCTAAACTTCTGCAAGAGCGAAGCTTTGAGTTCTGAACACTTGATTCTTAGTCTGAAAACAGGGTCAATGGAGAATTCTCAGAACAGAGAGTATGGTATAGAGGACAGGGAAATCAACAAACACTTACTGAGGATCTGCTATGTACAAGATACTGTGTTAGGCACTGTGAAATTGTATGAAAATGGTATCTCCTTAACTAAGCTTCCTGAAAGGGAGTCCAAGACTAACCTGCCTTACCCCAAATTCTAATGTACGTCACCTAATTCTATTTTGAACACCTCTGGTATAATTAATTCTCCTGACCCATAATTCCTTTCCTAGCTGAAAGCATCTACCGTGAGCACAAAATCACATCTTTTAAAACTTAAAGTTGACTTTATGCAAAGGTCTCCTAAGCCTCTAAGTAAGGAGTAGCAATGCATTTAACCAAGACATCCAAGCTTCAGACTACTGTGTGGCATTCAGTCTCTGGCCAGTACACTACAGAGGCATCTTTCCCTAAAAGAAAACATCTCAGAACAGGAAATGTGGAAATATTCTGAGAAAAGCAAAGCTTCGCAATGGAATATTTTTGTGGATGCTGGCTAACATGAGGCCAAAACGATTCATTTTTACTGGGAGATATTTTGAGAGCAGTTGATCAAGGTGAGGTGAGCTGAGGAAATGCTCTCCGCAGACATGGCATCCTAATGAGACTACATCTCATTATCCTTTATCCAGATTAGCCAGAAATCTCTGAAGTCTCTTGGTACTTTACTTGTACTTTTCTTTTGTCTTTTTACCTGCCACTTGGTATGTGAGAGTAGTGTCAGATCCATCTCTCCAAAGATAACGTGTATTCATCCCTTTAAGTGCTTGTCCCCTACGATTCTTAACTTGAGGTTCATGGACCCTCAAGGCCCTTCTGAATAGATTTGGGGTGGGGGGACCTATGAATTTAGGTGAGAAAAAATTATATCTTTATTTTCACTAACATTTTTTTGGGCTAGGCAATGGGGTTAAATGACTTGCCCAAGGTCGTATAGCTAGTATATTTTCACTAACTTTTAACTGAAATTTAGCATTTCCTTCAATTATTTAAAAACATTCTGAGAAGGGGTCCATGGGCTTCACCAGACTGCCAAGAGGGTCCCAAAAAAGGTTAGAAATCTTGATGGTTGTTCTGGAGCCAACTCGTTCCTACCCTCAAACAGATAATTAAATTAATTAAGGAGAAGAATATATCAACATGAGCATTTAGGCCTCGGAAATCAGAGCAGCAAAGGCTTGATTTGTTGTTTTGTTGAATTGTCTAAAGTAAGTTAAAATGTTAATAATGCATATTAAACTTAAAAGTGTGTTAACGAATACATTTTTTGGGAGAGTCAGTTGTTAAGCATTTAATAGCATAGGCTTTTTACATAGCACAGGCTGTCCCTTATGCCTTAAAATGCACTCTCTCATCCTCTGTTTTCTATTCTTCTCTTCCTTAAAGCCCACTTCAGTGGGCTGAAGATACAGATTCGTATCTTCACTCTGCATCTTACTATTTGTTTAACCTTCATCTCTCCAAGCATTAATTTCCTAATCTGTAAAATGAGGGCATTGGACTACTCTAAACCCATGAGTTTGTCCTGTGCTAAATAACCCAAATTTTATGCATGTTTATATCTGTTTTTGGGGGGAGGTTTTTTTTGTTTTGTTTTTTTTTGTTTTTTTTTTTGGTTAGGCAATGGGATTAAGTGACTTGCCCAGGGTCACACAGCTAGTAAGTGTTATGTGTCTGAGGCGGAATTTGAACTCAGGTCCTCCTGAATCCAGGGCCGGTGCTCAATCCACTGCGCCACCAAGCTGCCCCGTGCATGTTTATATCGGAAGTGCCCAACACTGAATCTTGCTCCTAGTAGGCAGTCAATAGTCAATATGGCAGAGTGGAGAGAACCTTAGACTCAGACTCAAGTCTTGCCATGACATGTGACCCTGGACTAGTCATTTGACCTATGAGCACCCTCAGATAATTCCCTATGGCTAGAAGTTGCAAAGAAGGTGTGGAACTGCTGTTGATGGAGGGAGCTGCCTCACCAGCAAGTACCCTGTATGTACTAATGAAATCACAATTCTGGTCCCCATCCCTTATCTCTAAAGAATGGAAAATGTTACTATAGGAAGAAAAATGAGACTCTAAAATGGAACTTCTTCATTTTCATTTTTCTCTTTTGAAAAAAAAAAAGATTATAAACAATATTAAACATAACATAACTAATTAATCTTGCTTTATAACTATTTACATTTAAATCCATTTCAATGCATACAACGTTATAACCACTTTCCAGTCTCACTCTCCAAGTCTCTATCAGGAATCTTTGTCCCTGAATTTTCATTCACTTTTCCTCTTTTGATATGGTTAATGGTAGTGGTTGTGGTTAGTGTATACCCTATTCTAGTTAGTTCTGCTCTTTTGGGATATGTGTTATTTCACAAAGGGCTTCCCAGACTTTAGGTTTCCTCATGGCCTCCATTTCCTCATATGTAAAAGTGGGAGATTGGACTCAATGAACCATCTCTGAGCTCCTTTCTAGATCAAACATTCCATGGTTCTATGATCTTGGCCCATGTTCATTTCATTCTCCTTTTTCTTCTGAACCAGGTCAGCTATAGCCCTTCCTGGAAGCAGAGAGGTGGGAAACATGATCTAAATTCTTCTCCTTTGACTCTCTGGGAGACACTGCCCTCCCACCCCACCCCCAGGACCCCTGGGATCTCAGCCAGAATCACTACTATCTAAAGGTTTCTGGTAGTCACTCTATAGGGCAATCATTTTCCAGGAATTAGATCAAAGCTATGTGGTCTGTGGAGGTCAGAACTTGAATCTTGACCCTGCAACTCTGGACCAAGGGTCTTCCCTATCTATGCCTCGTGTTTCCCAGTTATAGCATGGAAAATCATTGCCTCTGCTCCCCAGGGTCCAGTGGGGAGGGAGGTGGAGCAGAATAAGGCATGAAGATGGGATGCATTATTGATGCTATAGTGCTTCTTTGTCTCTATCCATTGTCTTCATCTTGGCATGCTGGCCTTTCTGGGAATCCAAACTCCCTCACCCCATTACCCAAATGTGTTCCTACTCTACTTTAGCCTCAATACTTTTTTGACCCTGACTCTCACCCCACTAATTTCCCTAAACCTGTCACACCTCAGTCCTTCACTAGCCACTGCTTTGACCCATCTGTCCCAATCCTACCTTGGGCACTTGAAGACTGGCTGGTAGGTAGCATATTTGGATTCCAACTCCACTTCTCTTGTGGAGAATGTTTTTAAATCCTGTCTCCTAGTAGCAAATAGGAAGGTATTAAAACCAAGATGGGAATTCCTATCCTAAGGACAGAGCCTAAATATTTTGTCTTCTAGCTTGGAAATGCCTAGAATTGAGACAGACTCAGAGGGTATAGGAATAGGTCTGAAAATAAAGGAGAAAAAGAGGGAGGAGGTGATAAGAAGGGACAAGGGACAAGGAAGTAAAAGGAACTGATTTTTGAGAATAGGGAAAAAGAAGAAGAAATAGACTGAAGTGACAAAATGATGAGAGGAAAGAAGGAGAGAAGAGGGAAGAGAGGATGAGGTGAAGAGATTAGGAACAGGAATAGAAAAAGAGAAAGATAAGAAAAGGTATGCAAAGATATGTGGAGACATTTATATGGGTACGTATATGCAGGGATTCCCAAAAGTCTTAGTTCAGCTCTAAGCTATTAATATGTATGTATATTTTGTGTGTATGTGTGTGTGTGTGTGTGTGTGTGTGTGTGTGTGTGTGTGTGTATTCTCATAACAATCCTGGGAGGTAGATGCTATTATCCCCATTTTACAGATGAGGAAACTGAAGCAAGTAGAAATCAAGTGACTTGCCCAGGGTCATACAACTAGTCAATATCTTAGGCAGGATTTGAATTCAGGTCTTCCTGACAGTCTAATACTGTAGCCACTGAGCCATCCAGCTACCCCCAAAGAATCATTTGTTAAACTAGGAGGGTCACCACCTACTGACTCCTTCCTGGCCTCTTCTACTCTGTATTTAAGATGAGCTCTGAAGTATGTGCATAGTGCACACACACACACACAAACACACACACACACACACACACACACACACACACACACACAGGAGTGCCCTTTACTATGATCTGGAGTCTACTCAGAGGGTAGTCTCTATCTATCCACACCTCAAACTAATTTATGCTAAAATGTTTACTTAAAAAATCCTTTTTTGTGTGCTGTTTGCCCCAGACCTGCTTCACCTGAGCCAAAAACAATGCCTACTTATGGCTCTAGGTAATAGAGACAGGTAGAGGAATCCAGGAATACCGGAGGATGGATGGAGGGAGCAGATAATTAGGAGATGTTAATGGAACATGGGGAGCATGAGAAGCATGTGTGGAGGGGGGTGACTTAACTGATCAAGGCAGAGACAAGTGTAGGGTTGCAGACAGAGAC